TGAAGCTGGTTTCCTTTCAGTTTATGTTGGCTGCAAATTCTAGAACCTAGAGCTGTGAGGAGACCTAGAATGTGAGATGGGCCTATCTGCAGGTACAAGTCTATCAGTATGACCAGTTTGTTGTTTTTTCAATTGTAACTATAGTTCTGGTCAGTACTCAGGTCGTCAATGACAGTTGTGTAAGTCAACGAGTGGAGGCCAATGTGTGATTTTTCTAAAGCTCGGATTTATTTAACAGTGTAGAGTCAGCATTTGTTTAAGATCAGAGTCTTGCTATCAGTCTGGATCGATGTCTGAGTGGCAACTTGTTGGTGTAGGTCACAATTCCAGATTAGCTTCTTAATCTTCACTCTCCTCACTGTGCAACTGCCCTTGCACCTGTGTTCGTGTTGGTGCTGTCCTCTAATGGCCTGCAGGTTAGGTCACACGTTCCTCTCTCTGGAGCCAGTTCTAATGTTATCTGCCACTCTCCAGCTGGTTTCGTGTCATCTTTCTCTGCAAGGTGAAATACCTACAAGCCTTTATCACAATTTTTTTGCAGCTGGGTAGTGTTCCTCCTTCACCATGGCAGGGAACAACGTAGAATCTCCAACTTTCATGAACACTAGTGTCATCCCGCCTCCCCATCAAAGAACAAACCAATTGATTCCATTTTCTCTTATCATATCAAACTCATCTTCTGGAGTTTACTGACAAGTTTCTTACCAGAGCTCCTCCTTGCGTATGATCTATCACCCAGGTGATTAGACATCATCAGGTGTTATCAAACCACCGTCAACCCGACGCTGTTGCTATCTCTGATTTCGTTAGAAACCGGTGTGATTGTCACTTTATGCTGTGATATACTCCGGGATATCGCTTCCTATTTCGAATCTTATGCCTGGAAGTTTGGGATCAGTGTTATTTTCTGGGTTAAGACGTCACCCATTCTCTGGTCAACCTCCGGATCAGCCATGGGGAAGTCATTGGCTCTGAATCAACGGCTCAATCATCGGCCTTTTACTCACCCTAGGCCTTCTCAGAGTCTCTTTCCTCAACGCTCTCTTCTCCTCTTCTGTCTCTCTGTGGCAGCCTCCTGTCTCTTAGACTCCGGAATATCTGGCTACAAAGAAATCATGAGAGCCCTATACGCCAGTCTTCTCTCTCTGTGCTGACAAATGCCAGTTCGATCACAAGAATCTTCAGTTCACGCTTGCCAAATACAGGAGATGTGGGCCTCGGATTTGGTCACGGTCATCAAACTCAGGACCAAGACAATTGGGCTTACAAGTAATTATATTAAATGTGGGTCCAGTTGCTTGGCAAAGCTGTCATAACTTTCGTTTCCTCTCCCAAGAGATATCTCTTGCCTTTTTAACCCTGACTGGCAGTCTCTCACCTAATCTTCTTCTGACTTTGTTATGACTGGAGCAGACTGAGCCCAGTGGCAGAGTGTACTGTGCCAAGACAGCTTTGGTCATATCACTGGCATCTCGCATTTGTGTGTAAGTTCTTTGGTTCTTTCACTGGTTGCCTGATTAAAACACCGTATCTCAAGCATCTCTCCAATGTAGGCAACTCCGACTTCCCAGGGCTCTCTCCCAGACTAGATAGTGACTGAGATGGCTGGATTTTGGTTCTCGTCCTGGCAGCAGCCATCACAAGTAGCTATCAGCCCATAAATACTCAGAATCTGAAACAGAAAAAAATATTTATTTATGGTTGGGTTGTTGAAAGTAAAGTCAGAAAGCAATGTTCACTATTTAATTGTAATACTAATGCAGCTGGCACATTGGGTGTGATAAAATTTCACTAAAATTTACCCTAGCAAAGGTTGCAAAATATTGTTGTTATTTTCTGTTTATATACTAAATCTACCAAAAAGTGATGGGCCCATTAGTTTGGCAATCTTCCCTCATAACCCACCCTAATAGGAGTGTGCCTTATTTCATCTCCACCGGGATCAACTGTGGTGCAGATAAAATTGTCCCGAGATCTACCAAAAAAGTGATGGGCCATTAGTTTTAGCTGATCTTCCCTCCTATGACACACCCTAATGCACAGGCCAACCGGCCTATTGCAAACTCCTTATTTTCTTTTGTTCTTATGTTCTTATCTCCTCATCATTAAAAAAAAAAAAAAATAATCACTTTGAGATACACCTGTAAAAAAATTATTATATACATTATTTTTTTATGTAACTACCTGTATATATAAGAGTATTGTATGTTGATATTTTCTAAAGGGATACGAGTCTAAAATAATTCTGTAAACAATGTCAGTTATGTGATGAAATGCCTCGACATTAGGTAAGTTTAGATATAAAATTGTACTTTTTTTTCGTCTTCAACAGATTCTTTTGTAAGACGGAAGCGGTAGCAAAGAGGATTTATCTATATATGTGTGTGGGTGTGGGGGTGTGGGGGTGTTGTGGGGGTGTGGGGGGTTGGGGTATGGGGCGAGGGGTTGTGTTATCGTGGTCGGGGTTTTCTAAATGCCGCCACAGTCCAATTTTCTTTTATATTGGTACTTGTGGACTAACATTTCTGCATAGTAAATGCCGCTTTCTTGTTACTGGATAAGATTCATTCATTCATTCTCTCTCTCTCTCTCTCTCTCTCTCTCTCTCTCTCTCTCTCTCTCTCTCTCTCTCTCTCTCTTGATTTCCTTCTTCTTCGCCAGGTATTTGTGTTTATGTTCAGGTTTGTTTTTGTCCAGGTGTTAAATACCTGTAATATCTTTTGTATACACGAGTACATAATAAAACACTATAAGTCACTATAACCTGTGTATAGTGAACAGACACTATTTCTTCCCCCGCTACTGACGTCAGAATCATTAACGCCTCCTCCCCTCCTCCCTCCCCCTCCGTGACCTCACCCCACCACCCCATCTCCGTGACCTCAATTAACCTGTCCTCCCAACCAAGGTGTAAATATTACCACATTTACCTTGGCCTCACTTGACCTCCCTCCCACCCCCCCTCCCAGGTGTCGTGTGACCCTGGGATTGACGTCACCCGGATTAATTTGTCGTATATGAGCCAAAAGTATAAAAACTACCTGGGCTGATCTTTACACGAAAACTATAAACATAATTAAAAGTTCTTCAGCATCTTGTCGAAAATCTCATTGTCCTTTATCCCAGGTAATGTCCCTCGTCAACAAAGATAATTTACACAACACTAAAAAAAAAAATACAAAAATGACACTAGGTCTATTAACACTTATAGGGACGAGTCTCTGTGGCTGTAAGACGTCCCAATAAAGTCGAACACCTCCGTATGTTCCAAAGAGAGAGAGAGACTGACTAGTATCCGAGGTCGAGAAACAGACTAAAGATCAATAGCTACTTCTCTTCTCCCATACTGCTAGTTCAGATGTAAAGGTCTTTGTCCCATCAAAACCAACACAACGGCTTGTTCCACCCCCCACCCTCCCCGACTACCAGAAGGAAGACCTCATATGAGACACTCCTCGGTCGTCCAGGGAGTGAAGTTACATAAACACCCTTCACACGGAGTACAGCAAAACAGACTTCAATGACCTTGTTCTAAGAATGGGCTCGTCATCAGCACCACCATCACCACCACACCACCACCATCACTACCACCACCATCACCAACACCACCACCAACATCACCACCACCATCACCACCACCACATTTTATAGGTCATGTCACTCACTCTCCAACCAAACTAGACTCATGTCATAAACACTTTCGGTCATCGTGTCATCGTGAAGTGAAGAGGTGACAGGTGAGGAAGGGGTGAGGAGAGAGGAAGGGGGGAGGAAGGGAGAATGAGGGGTGAGGGAGGAGAGGCTATACCTATCTACCATTAACCCTTTGGAGTAGTTGATGAGTGGCCTGGTGTGTGTGTGTGTGTGTGTGTGTGTGTGTGTGTGTGTGTGTGTGTGTGTGTGTGTGTGTGTGTGTGTGTGTCTGTGTGTGTGTGTGTGTGTGTGTGTGTGTGTGTGTGTGTGTGTGTGTGTGTGTCTGTGTGTGTGTGTCTGTGTGTGTGTGTGTGTGTGTCTGTGTGTGTGTGTGTGTGTGTGTGTGTGTGTGTGTGTGTGTGTGTCTGTATGTGTGTGTGTGTGTGTGTGTGTGTGTGTGTGTGTGTGTGTGTGTGTGTGTGTGTGTGTCTGTGTGTGTGTGTGTGTGTGTGTGTGTGTGTGTGTGTGTGTGTGTGTGTGTGTGTGTGTGTGTGTGTGTGTGTGTGTGTGTGTGTGTGTGTGTGTGTGTGTGTGTGTGTGTGTGTGTGTGTGTGTGTCTGTGTGTGTGTGTGTGTGTGTGTGTGTGTGTGTGTGTGTGTGTGTGTGTGTGTGTGTGTGTGTGTGTGTGTGTGTGTGTGTGTGTGTGTGTGTGTGTGTGTGTGTGTGTGTGTGTGTGTGTGTGTGTGTGTTGTACTTCATCTACCTTATTAACATACGAATTCATTCACTATAAATGTGATATAACATAAATATATCCAATTACTGTACATTATGGTGTACCGTCATAGGTTTAGGTTAGGGTTAGGTTTAGGTTTAGGTTAGGTTAGGTTAGGTTAGGTTAGGTTAGGTTAGGTTAATGTACAACCACACGAGTATACATGTACTACTTGGTTGGCTCTAATTGTCGCTGGTGCTACGACGCAAATCAGAATAATAATTATAATTGGTCTACGATGAACAATTATGAAAGGTTAATCACTCTAATTATTTTCTTCATTAGTAAAATGATTTAATTAGCGCCTGCATCCTTAATCGACTATTATTATCTACCTTGTGGAGAGAGAGAGAGAGAGAGAGAGAGAGAGAGAGAGAGTAGTCAAAGTTCAGCCACTCGATATCTGAGAACCTTGAGAAAGTCAGGTTGTAAATATTGTACCGCTATACTGAAGGTTAGTAGCCCGACCACCTGACTGTGTACCTACCATTAACGGCAGTCACCTTGGGCGTGAGAGAGGGAAGGGGGGAAAGGGGAAAGAGAGAGAGGGAGGGAAGGGGGAGAAAGTAAGGGAGTGAGGGATAAAGAGAGAGGGGAAGAGGAGAAACAGATTAAAGGAAGAGAGAGAGAGAGAGAGAGTTGGCCTCCTATCTCGTCCAAAAGTTTCTCTCTTTCTCTCATCCATATTTCAGACATTTTTGAGGTATAATCTACTTTATTAGACAGATAGACATATATAGACAGTCTACCTACGTTATTATCAATTTCTGTCTGTTTGTATATCCGTCAATCGTGCGTGGAATCTTTTATTAATCTTCCTGTTCCATATTTATTTGAGTCTCTCCTCTAAGTCTTCATTTTCTTTCCATTTTTCATTTTTTTTTTTCATTTTCGTTGATTTTTTTTTCTCACGTCAACTTCGATTTATTTAATTTATAACACCTGTCAATCTACCTAGTGCACACCTGTCAATCTACTTAGTGCACACCTGTCAATCTATTTAGAGCACACCTGTCAATTTATCCAGAGTCAACGTGATAACCACACCTATCAACCAACTTAAACCACACCTGTCAACCAACTTCAACCACACCTGTCAACCAACTTAAACCACACCTGTCAACCAACTTAAAACACACCTATCAATCAATTTAGAACACACCTATCTAAAACACCTATCTAAAACACCTGTCTAACCCTAGCACGTGTTTCCTCAGGTACCTTCTTCATGCTGTACGATTTCCTGGATTATTTCAACAAGGACGATGCGACTGAACTGGAACGAGACAAATTCCTCGCCATTATCGATCAGATCTTCAAAGATTGGTCACCTATTGAGAAGGAAGCGATCATATTTCAGGTACGTGGTGGTCTCTCTCTCTCTCTCTCTCTCTCTCTCTCTCTCTCTCTCTCTCTCTCTCTCTCTCCACACACACACACACACCTCTTCCCCCTCTACTTAATTAAATACAATAAACCATAATAAACTTCCTCTACCTGTATTCAATAATATACTTAACCATTATTTCTATTATTCCTATTACATTTTATTTGCTATTATGAGCTATTATTATTGTCTATTATTATATATAAGGCTCCGTTCACCCATTATTTTAGTGTGTCTCTTATAGCAAAAGGTAATAAGACCTATGTTTGTTTGTCCCCATTAAGATCTCCTTCCCCATTATCTCCCAGTTCTCACCAGTATCTCCTCAACCAGTATCACCTCCCCCATTATCTCCCAGTTCTCACCAGTATCTCCTCCACCAGTACACGGACTGGGAGAACCTGGAGAACGGGTACCTGAATCAGAAGGCAGTGGCAGATGTTGTTGGTGACTATTTCTTCATCTGTCCGTCTAACCTCTTCGCTTACCTGTACTCCGAGGCTGGTGGTACCGTCTACTACTACTTCTTTACACACGTGAGTCACCTTGAGTCATTGTTATGTGAGTCACTGTCATTTATAGTTACGTGAGTTACCTTGAGTCATTGTTATGTGAGTCACTGTCATTTATAGTTTCGTGAGTCACCTTGAGTCATTGTGAGTTATAGTTATGTGGGTGCTATGTTTTATGTGAGTCATCTTAAGTCATGGCGGTCACTGTGAGTTATAGTTATGTGAGTCACTGAGTCATACCCAGTTATGTCCTGTGTTGTCCTGTGATAAGGGCGTAGTGACCAAAGGGGGGTGGGGGGAGGGGAGAAGGGGGCGGAGGGGGAGTGGGGGAGGGAGTGGGCGGGAGGGAAGGTGAATCATGTAGGGGAATGAGGAAGAGAGAGGGAAATGGTAATGGAGGAGGAGGGTAGGAGGGGTAGGGAGGGGAGGAGGGGTAGGAGGGAGGAGGGGTAGGAGGGAGGGAGGGTGGGAGGGAGGAGGGTAGGGAGTGGAGGAGGTAGGAGGGAGGAGGGTAGGAGGGGAGGGGGCAAGGTGAGGAGAAAGGTCAGGGGGAGCATAACCGGTGAGGGGGGATAGGGGGGAAGATGTGGGGGCAGGGGTGGGGAAGGTGTAGAATAGTAGAGGGGAGGGAGAGAGGGAGGGGTGTACGTGCAGAGGTGGGAGAGGGAGGAGGGGTGTGTGTGGATGGGGATGTGAGAGAGGGGTAAAGAGGGATGGAGAGGGGTTAAAGACACGTGGTGGAGAGGGTTAAGAGGTGGTGGAGGGTTAAGAGAGGTGGTGGAGAGGGTTAAAGAGAGGTGGTGGAGGGTTAAGAGAGGTGGTGGAGAGGGTTAAAGAGAGGTGGTGGAGAGGGTTAAAGAGGTGGTGGAGAGGGTTAAAGAGGTGGTGGAGAGGGTTAAAAGAGAGGTGGTGGAGAGGGTTAAAGGGAGGTGGTGGAGATTTAGGGGGTGAGGTAGAGGAGGTTAAGAGAGGTGGTGGAGGGTTAAAGAGAGGTGGTGGAGGGTTAAAGAGAGGTGGTGGAGAGGTTAAAGAGAGAGGTGGTAGAGGGATGGAGGACTGAGAGAGGGGTAGAGGGGTGGAGAGGGTTAAAGAGAGGGGTGGTGGAGGGTTAAAGAGAGGTGGTGGAGAGGGTTAAAGAGGTGGTGGAGAGGGTTAAGAGAAGTGGTGGAGAGGTTAAAGAGACGTGGTGGAAGGGTTAGAGAGGTGGTGGAGAGGGTTAAAGAGAGGGTTAGAGAGGGGTGAAGAGGGTTAAAGAGAAGGGTAAACCATGATATTCCTTCACCCTAAAACACTACGTAATGCTCACCTTATTATAAAAACAAACAAAACAAAACAAACAAACAAAAACAAAACAAAATAAAACAACTAACTTGCCGATAATTAACACAAAACCGATTTTTTTTTCTTCAACAACAAAGCTTTTTTTTTGTGGTGATCATTGGCAAATCAGACGAACTTTTTACTTTTTTTAATAGCAAATCAAGCTATCCCCCTCCTCCCCCCAGTTAGAAAATATGTGGGTAAAAATATACCTTAAAGAGATCAAACATCAGAGAATATTATTAAACTATGTAGGAATTTTTTTTTTTTAGGATTTTTTTTTTGTCAGCTACTCAAAACATATGTGTGTGTATATATAGGACCTGGCTGACTCCCATAACACAGATATATTATTTTTACTTATTTTTTTATATAACTCTTTTTAGTGTATTGAACAAGAGAATGGGTAAAATTATATGAGAAATAGTAGTAGTAGTGATAGTAATGGTAGGTAGAGAATAGTGAAGGTAAGAATAGGTAGGGAGGGGTAGAGAAAGACAGTGAAAGATAAAGAGAGTGGGTAAAGAATAGGAGGAGATGAGAATAAGTAGAAAGGGGAAGAGATGGAGGAGTGGATAGGGAGAGTTTGAAAGGAATAGAGAGAAGTAGAGAGTGGGTTAAGGAGTAGGCAGAGAGGGATGGAGAGGGGTGGAAAGGGGTAGAAAGAGTTAAAGAGCAGTCAGAGAGGGGTGAGAGGGATGAAGAGGGCTAAAGAGCAGTCATAGAGGGGTGGAGAGGGCGGAAAGGGGTGAAAGGGTTAAAGAGCAGTCGGAGAGGTGGAGAGGGCGGAAAGGGGTGGAAAGTGTTAAAGAGCAGTCAGAGAGGGGTGGGGATGGGTGGAGAGGGATGGAAAGTGGCGGAGAGGGGCGAGAGGGGTGGAGAGGGGCGAGAGTAAAGCGGTGTACATCAGGAACAAAGGGAAACCAGTCATTTGTATGGTATCCTTGTGTGGGTAGGAGGGAGGGGAGAGTGGCTCTGTTGTGGCTAGTGTGTGTGTGTGTGTGTGTGTGTGTGTGTGTGTGTGATCTCTAGTGCTTCCTTTTATTTATGTATGTATGTATGTATGTATGTATGTTATTCTCACATTGACCGCATCGTCATTAAGTCAACTCTAAAGACGCCTCAAGCCCCTGAGATGTCCAATTCGTCATCAGTTTCGTCAGTATGGGCGGAGAATCCCCCTTTGAGTAGAAGAATAAAGTGGAACGCCAGGCACTAGTGATCGCTCGGGGCAGGTAGCAGGGAGATGACACAGGGGTGGTGATGCAGGGGGACGCAGGGGTGGTATTGCAGGGGTGGTGACGCACGGGGTGGTGATGGTGGGTGACGCAGGGGGTGGTGATGCAGGGGTGGTGACGCAGGGGTGGTGATGCACGGGGTGGTGATGCAGGGGGTGGTGACGCAGGGGTGGTGTTGCAGGGGTGGTGACGCACGGGTGGTGATGCAGGGGTGGTGACGAGGGGTGGTGACGCAGGGGGTGGTGATGCAGGGGGTGGTGATGCAGGGTGGTGATGAAGGGGGTGGTGACGCAAGGGGTGACGCAAGCGAGGGCAGCTTTAGTACGTCGTGTTCCATTATTCGTCCTCTAACACAGGTTGTCCACACCCCCTGCATACCGGCCACCACCTCCGAATTGTACTACGAGATCCCACGGCCCCTAATAAAACCCCTGATTAAACCCCTGATAAAACCCCTGATAAAACACTTAATGATTCCACGGACCCCCTGATAAAATCGTGATAAACCCCTGATAAATTAAACCCCTTATGAAAGCCTTGTAATCTGGGGAATCTACTTTCGTTTTTGCAGCATTAAATATTCCCCCCTGAGAACAACCCGTGACAAAGGTTTACAACACAACTTTAAAGAGAGTCACAACCTAACCTAACCTAACCTTACCTGGCATGAGTCGGTACATCGGTCGAGTGAAGGCTAGTGTGTTTTAAGGTAAATTTCTTCAGTATTAAAAACTAATCCATTAATTACAGGTGTTACAGGTACTAATTACTTCCCACCTACCTACCTACCCCCCCCTGTCCTTCTCCTTCCCCCAGCAGTATAATCTTGTGGATCAACCAATCTTACCTGTAATAATCCTCCCAATCCCCTAAATCCTGGATAATCCTGGTTCGTCTTAAGGGGTTCGTTCACTCACTCTGTCACCTGGTTAGTTCACCAAATCACAGACTGTACATGATTTACATTACAGTTTCCTTCTGCTATGTAGGCTTATGCTGGATTAACTAACCTACCATACCATACCCCATTCCCACCCCTACCCCTCATCTTACCCTACCCTAACCTAACCTACCCTCATCCTAACCTAATCCCAACCTACCCTAACCTAAACATTTTTCTTATGCCACAGAGGACAACGGTCAATCCCTGGGGAACCTGGATGGGTGTCCTTCACGCTGACGAGATTGACTACGTGTTCGGACTGCCCCTCAACAGGTCTCTAGGATACTCAGACATCGAGGAGGATTTATCCAGACGCATTATGGGTTATTACAAGAAGTTTGCCGCCACTGGGAGAGAGAAGGAGATAATAAGAAGAAGAGGGAGAAGAATAGGGAGAGAAAGGAGAGATGGAGAGGGGAGAGAGATATGAGATAGGGAGAAAAAGAGAGGGGGTGTGGTAGAGAGAGAAGAATAGGAGAGAGGGGAGGAGAGTGAGAAGGAAAGGAGATAAAGAGAGGGAGAAAGAGAGAGGAGAGGAGAGGAGGAAGGGAGATAAAAAAGGGAAAAGGAAAGAGAAAAATGGAAGGGAAAAAGTGGGTGTGGTAGAGAGAAGGAAGGAGAAGGAGAGAGAGAGAGAGAGAGGGGAGAGAGAGAGAGAGAGAGAGAGAGAGAGAGAGAGAGAGAGAGAGAGAGAGAGAGAGAGAGAGAGGAAGGAAAGAGGAAAGGATATAGGGATAAGGAAAGAGAAAGAAGAAGAGATGCATAGAAGGAGAGAGAGAGAGAGAGAGAGAGAGAGAGAGAGAGAGAGGGGGGAGAGAGAGAGGAGAAAATAAAACAGAGGAAATAAACTGAAGTCACACCCAACAAGCCACACACCCACACCTCACAAACCACCACCCCACACACCCCACCACCCCACACACCCACAACCCCACACCACAATAAAAACAGCCCTAAGAGTGTCTGGTGTTGTTACAGACGACCAGTGGGTAGGAGGGAGGAATGGCCGCTTTACACACGAGACCAGCCAATGTATTACGAGTGGAATGGCGTCACGACTGGCCTAGGCAAGGGACCCAGGGCAACTGGCTGTGCCTTTTGGAATGAACTGATGCCTATTTTACGAAAGAAACAAGGTAAGTGTGATAATATTTGTTCCTATACGTCAGAAAACATATTCATACGTTTTTTTGTAGATATACATAGATAAGACATGCGTATTTTGTATATTCTGTTGGTTCCTATACGTCAGAATACATACACGAGTACATATACATAAACATACGTATCTTATACATTGTTGATTCCTGTACGTGAGAATACATAAATTTTTTGTAAGTATACATACTGTAGATTCATTTTTACTCATATGTCTTATACACTCTCCTGTTTCCTATACATAAATTATTATGTTTATTATACATATACATAGAAATACACAGACTTGTTTATATACAGTATATTTCCCCCCTTCTCTCTCTCTCTCTCTCACTCTCACTACATAGAGAAACTTTCCTGTCTTTCTTTATATACTCGCAATCAAACCTCCAATCACCTCTCCACCCTCACAAGGAAACCCCCAATCACCTCTTTAACCTCAGAATCAAACCGTCCAATCATCTAACCTCACAAGGAAACCTCAACTTATTAACCAATCCCATTCTCTCGTTTCCAGGTGGCGGCATCTGTGAGAGTGAGATGCAAAAGGCATTGAACTCAGCCTCGATCGTGGGCCCGGAGTCATTAGGCTGGCTTATCAGTTTGTTTACATTCTTCTACTGGAACATCTAATACAGTTACGAGTTGGGGTGTATATTTTGTAATTATTCCATGTCGTATGAAGGTTTGAGAGAGGGATAGTTTGTGTTGGATAGTAGTGGATAGTTCTCCCTACGTGATATGACTGGTGGAGTGGAGGAAAATGCAGGAGTAAATGAGAAAATGGGAAAAATATATAAGATAGAAACATAACGACGCCACAGAAAACGGAAGAAAAAGTGAAAAGGAAATTTTTAGGAGAAACTTAACAAAAAAACCAATACAAAGTTGTTGTTTTTTTCTCGCTGTTCTTGATTAATAGTAAATAGTTAATCTGTGTGTTTAGAAATATACTTTTGTTGTGAGATTAGAAGAAAAATATCATGTTAATTTGATGGCTATTTGACGAGAAATACAAATTTACTGGACTTTGTTGTGGTAGTAAGGATGATGGAACTCACGGGAAAGATTAACATAAACTAACATTGATTTAACCAAAGAGACACACACAATCAGTGACGTGTAAACTGAGTAATAATTGTGCTTGACGGTGAAATTGATGGGAATTAAATGATGATGAAGAAGGTGACGTTTCTGACTTTGTGAACCAGGAAAGTCGAAGCTAGTCCTTGAAGCCGCCAACTCCACCGGCAGAATGATGGACACTGCCAGGATGCTCACCCGACAACCTTCTGTATTGCTTGTGAAGTTATTACTGGATATATAATTTAATAGCTTTGCCAATAACTACGAAGCTATAGTAATTATATGTATCGTATGTAACCCCACACGAGTACGTATTCAGTATATAGTGACGGGTGGTGGATAGTGCACGATGGTGAGTCTTGTTTATTAAGTGAAAGTGAAGTCGACACAGCGAGGGGATTCAAACACTTGCGATGATGACGTCAGGATCGGTGTTTAAGATGATGACGTCAGGATCGGTGTTTAAGATGATGACGTCAGGATCGGTGTTTATGATGATGACGTCAGGATCGGTGTTTAAGATGATTACGTCAGGATTGGTGTTTGTGAGGATGACGTCAGGATCGGTGTGAGGATGACGTCAGGATCGGTGTTTAGGAGGATGACGTCAGGATCGATGTTATGATGACGTCAGGATCGGTGTTTATATGATGACGTCAGGATCGGTGTTTATAAGGATGACGTCAGGATCGGTGTTTATAAGGATGACGTCAGGATCGGTGTTTAAGATGATGACGTCAGGATCAGTGTTTATAAGGATGACGTCAACAGGCACTCCTGCACTTGGTAAGGTAACGTCATCACCTCTGTAAACACATAATTCTAAGAAAATAATTATCAAAACATCTGTATATCGACCCTGTGGATAAAATGGAAACACAATTGAAAAAAAAACCCCACCTGGAAACACATAAGGAGGATATACACTACACCTGTGGGACGAGAGACACACAGGTGATAGAGACAAATTTACCAGGAAACACACACACAAATTAATAATGAAATAAATAAAAGATAATTTGGAGTTTTTGGGTTGTGTTGACCAGAGACACTTACATTAGTCACAAGATGATGACTGCTGTGAGACTATACCAGACCTGACCAGCATTACACCCTCCAACACACACACACACACACACACAAACACACACACACACACACAAACACATTGCTACATCACGATAACAGTTTATGCTCAGATATCATTATTATACTTTAGTGATCAACCTCTCGTTCCTTCATGCTGTTATAATGATTCGTCTTGGGCGCCAACACTAGAGGAAAGGAAGAGTGTTGATATAATATCCGTAAAGTTGTAGAGAAAAGCTGTTTGTGGTAGTCCGTCTCTCACCGTACACGGCTCCTCGGCATATTTCTGTCTCCCCCTCGACCCTACGGAAGGTCTCAAGCCAGTGTCGCCAGGATGAGAGGCTTCAAAGACTGATACCAAACAAAACAATCGGTGCCGGTGGTCAAGTCCACAGCCAGGAACTACGTCATGCCCCCTCTCTCTCTACAGCCAATCACACGTCGGCAGCCAGATATTACGTCATTCGCCTTATGGCTAATCAGAAGTAGGCAGTTGAATACTACGTCATATTTCTTGTAGCCAATCAGAGAAACATGTTTAGTCTTATGACGTTGTATTTTCCTGTGAACTTAATTTTCGACAATTTTCTGTAGAGTTTCTGGATACACTTGATTTACAATGTTCATTTGCATGTCAATAGTAGAGGAGTATTTATTTTTAAGTAAGAGTAAACCTAAAATGTTGGCGATCATTGTATCTTCTTCTTACTTAAACAAATACAACTTTACCGTGAACGACTGATCTCACGTAGGTCTTGTTCACCCCCGGTGGATGTTATCATTAATAGTGATGTGTAAAAAGAAATAATGATAATAATAATAACAATAATAAGGATGTTGAAAAAGAGACGATTATAGTAAATATATATAAATATATATAGATATATAAATATAATTTTTCAAAACGTGTACTGCTGATTCCTCACTCAATGTTTCAAGATAAACGTAATCATTGTTAATACTCTGTGTTTGGTTTAGAGATGTAACTTGTTGTGTACGTGAATTGAGTTTGTTGTTGTGTTCTCTCAGCCTCGGCGAGACGAGACGCCTGCTGCGGTCACTCCCCGGGACACTGAGGACACTAGTGTAGTGTTATTAAGAGAATTTTAATGGACTCAGCTGTTGTAATCGCCTGTTGGTAATCAACATGTATGTCCTTCTTGTCCTTATGTACTCACCTGTCACCCCCCTACCCATTTCCTCTTCCTCCTCTTGTTCTTCCTCTTTCTATCATCAAGGGTCTACCCCCCCTCCCTTTCTCCCCTTACTAATATGTGCTCCCCTTCACAAATGTGTCTTTTACGTCACATATGTTCCTTGTGTCACATGTGTCTCCTGTGTCACCAGGGGCCCCCTACGTCACATGTATCCTCTGAGGTACATGTGCTGCCTACGTCAGATGGGGCCCCTTACGTCACATGTGCCCACTACGTCACATGTGTCTTTTCTACGTCATATGTGCCCCTTACGTCACATGTGTTCTCTCTACGTCACATGTGCCTCGATCCTCTCTAAACTAACAGTATAAAAATTTCCAACATGAGTTAGACGTGGAAGCAGTGTTACAGAAGCGACACTCAGGCAGCATTATCTCAACACACCTGGGGTCATCCACCTCATCTGGGCCAGCCATTACCCTCGATAATAATAGAACTGTCTAACAGGATCTTGCAGCTTTATATAAAACTCAAAACTAACTTAACCAAGAACCAACACCGCCACCTCCTTGGAGTACTTTACAACAGGACTCTCCAGTGTGGCAATTGAGCTTATGATGCACCGTCTTGCACCCGCTTGTCACCGCCCACCAGCCCAAGTTCCAAGCTGGACACCGCACGTTCACCGATACTACCACAACGCTGCGACTTCCCTTCTCATATATTTGTAAACACGAGTCCAGGAGGAGGATTAGAGTGGTATTAGTCCTCGCTGTAGCACCGACCTTCAGCTCATTAACCTGTACTAGTCATCATGCTTGGCTTACCATCAACATAAGCTCACTGACATGTGTTGTATTATATATATAAACCACCACAGCTTCATAGACCCGGTTCTCACCTTAGTTACCTGAGTGTGTGTGTGTGTGTGTGCGCATAAAGTGACAATATAGGTTTCTCTCGTAGAAGTAATGTTCCAAGTTACAATTTTGTCTCAACTAGTGACTAAGAATAAGGCAAACACTGTACTAGCACCATGATCATCCAATAGTTAGCTCACTAGTTAATTAAATAGCTACTCGTGACACGGTACTACCACCACCACCACCACCACCACACCTGTTACAACCCTACTGGACACCTATAGCTTGTCTCTCTCTCTCTCTCTCTCTCTCTCTCTCTCTCTCTCTCTCTCTCTCTCCCACCCCCCCAGTGTGTAGTGGCTAGCCGAGGTTTTCAATACCTATGTGCTTCAGTATTTTAAACCCCCTTCCCATTCCCCCCTTCTCTCTCTTTTCCATCCCCTCACCCCTCTCTCTGATCTCCCCCCCCCTCTCCCCCTCTCCCCCACCTCCCCCTTTCTCAAAACTTTCTGGATAGAGAACAAGATATTTTGTTGTTGTTGTTGTTGTTGTTCAGAATGTAAACATAAACATTTATTCAATTAAACTCCAGTTGTGTACATTGTGTCAGTCTGTCTCTAGATGGTATATAAGATATTTTCCTTCTTTCCCTCCTTCTTTCCCTCCTTCTTTCCCTCCTTCTTTCCATCCATCCTTCTTTGTTTTTTTCCTCCCGGCCACAATCAACTTTAAATAATAACAATAATAATAATAATAATCACCCGTGAATCATGAGTAATGTTTCCGGTGCCTCCCGCTGTTGAGAGACAATAATAAAATGACTTAACACTTTCATCAGAGACTTTTCTTTCGATACAACAATGTTTAGACACTCGGTATTCGCTTAACGTTCATCCGCTTAACGTTCATCCGCTTTACGTTCATCCACTTAACGTACAAGTCTTCATGAATGTATATATCATGTTAAGCGAATACTGACTCTATCCGTATATACATAAGAGATATGTATATGTATACTTTATATTGTATTTGAAACCATCTTTAATTTGTTTCCTGAGGGTTGGCGACCACGGGTCACCACTCCACACGTTAACAATATTGACCATGTTATATGTATGTATATATATATATTAATTGTAGTAAGTGTGTATATACATTATATATATTCTGGTATATAAGGTTTACTTTAGTCATCTTCAAAATAAATATAGTTTCAGTCATAATAGAAATACCTCGTATACTATAGAGAGAAAATTATATATATACAGAATATAAATTAATCAGGTATATGTGGTGTATGAATGTATGGTTGTATGGATATAATGCTGGAACAATTTTGGCATCATAAAAAAAAAAATAAACTTTGAAATTAAATGGATTATAAACTTTTCATGTAGTTTAACCATTTGAATGATGTAAGATATTTGTGTTATATGTTGATGATGGGAAAATATACCTAAGAGGGAAAGTATATCAGAGGGAAAGTATATCAGAGGGAAAGTATATCAGAGGGAAAGTATATCAGAGGGAAAGTATATCAGAGGGAAAGTATATCAGAGGGAAAGTATATCAGAGGGAAAGTATATCAGGAAGAAAGTATATCAGAGGGAAAGTATATCAGAGGGAAAGTATATCAGAGGGAAAGTATATCAGGAAGAAAGTATATCAGAGGGAAAGTATATCAAAAAGAAAGTATATCAGAGGGAAGTATAAAATAATCATTTCTCAAAAGGTCGCAATTTGAATCATCTAATCAGCAAATAATCACAATTAATTCTTTACCTTTAATTACCTTGCGACTCTACCTTAATTAGATACATTTAATTAACCATCAATTAGTGGAATTAACCCACTGTATCTTTCTCAATCACTACGTACACTAATTACCTATAAACAGTATGACAGGTGATGAAAAATGAATGATAAATAAGGAAAAAAGAACAAGACACAGAATAAAGATAATGTCAATAACGATAAATTAAGGAAATGAAAATAATAAGAGAAGGTAATGAAGGTAATCAATACAAATTATAAATGTAAAATAGAAGAAAAAAGATAAAATATAATAAATGCAGAACGATAATAAAGATAATTAGAGATTAATATGAATAAAAAATAACGAAATTAAACTAGATTTAACTATGTATAATATAGTTATTTGAGAGAGAAAGAGAGAGAGAGAGATTTACCTTCCCGCTTGGCGTTATAAAATTCTACCGGAGTCCACAACCCATACGTCACCGCTTTAATATCAACAGAGCTTGAAAATAAAACACGCTAAATTCTTCTCTCTTACCACTGTGAAGGAATTATTATGGCAAGAAGAGAATAGTGTTCGAGTTACGACAGACGAAAGTAAGACGACACTAACAGCAGATGGTAGCACGTATCAATGGGCTGGTTAATAATAGTTTTCTTTTGCTATTCACACTCATATATATTCATGATAAACAATATATATTACCTTATTGTTTTTAGATACAAAATTGATGCTAGATAACAGTGGCGTGCTAAAGAATTTGAAAAGGATAGTTTAATTCACAAATAAGTAAGTTAATGTTGGCGCCTTAAAGCTAAAGGTTTACATTTTCTTTGATGGTTAAGACAAAAAACGGACTAAAATAAATCAGTATAAACTATAATATATCTTAAGGTGGATTTCTTAGGTATCTAAATGTTACAAATATTTGCACGACACATACACATCCTCTTCAGTTGTTCCTCATTACACCATATTAATAATAAATTATCATTAAAGTCATTCTATATCATTCATAAGTAGTAATCACCCAAGAATGAATTACGTTTATCCTATGTAGTTATTATTGGATTTATTTATGCATAATTTTTATCAATAACCTGTCACTGATTAAGCTTGTCTGTAAGTGAATTAGTCATCAGCTTGTTTCAGTTTTCAGCTGAGGTGTACCTGCAGCTTAACTTTGTCTTCATTAAAGCTTTATTCCTTACTGAATTTGAAGTGCAAGAGATCTAGTTCAGCTGAGACTCATGCAAAACAAACACACAAACACACAAACACACAGACACCTGAGTTACAATAATCCTTTAACAGCTGCCACGTCAAATTCACTTCCTAAGACTATAATTTTCCCCCAACTACGACTTCCAGCAGATTATAAGGAGATGCCAACTAAGGTATTATATGTCATAAGAACCTTAGTAACTTTTTCATGTCTTATTAACTTTCTGAGTCACGTATTAATGTCTCTGTGGTCTGCTTATTGTCTCCAAGTTCACATTGTGCTTAAAGCCTTAACAACTGTGGTGATAATAGTTCAATACACATATCAAACATCACTACCAATAACAAAAGTCAATGGCATTTATCTAAAGTAATATGATTCTACTAAAGTCAGTTACCACACTCCCAGACTCCAACACTCATAGTCCCCAGCTAACCACCAGTGTTTTCCCCCTACTTCCGGGTCACTCTACACTTCATCTGGTTCATAAAGACTTGCCCACAGTTCAATAACCTTGAGTTTAAGTTGATCGATCTCGTTGATGCCGGTGATCCAAGGGAGACTTCGCCTGATCCCGGTGTCGTTCTGTGAGAGCTGTTCCTCGCCGTTCATCACACCCAGGACCTTACAGTAGGTTGTCGGGTTGAAGAAAGGAAGGCAATTTGAGGAGGAATTAGAGGTAAGATGACGATTCTTAAAGGGCGCTCCCCACCAGTTCCCTGCTTTACCTTCTAAGTATTCACCAACTTTGAGACTTTTCTTGTGAATCTTTACCGTTTTGAAGAATGATGATACAGCCAAGTCGCCTTCATATAACAGTCTAACCTGCAATTTCAATGGTGTAGGTGAGGTGTTTTCTGGTACCGGCTCTCCTGAGTACCACAGTAGGAACCAACCTTGATCACAAGTAACTGAGAAACGTTTGGAGTGATCACGTGTCCAGAGGGATATACGGCCATTCACTGAGGGTACATCCCAACAGGTAGAGGGGCAGTTCTCACAATCCTTCCCTGAACAATATTTACGACCACAGGCATTACAGTCACGTGTAGCCAGACAGGTGGAGAAGCAGGTTGGGGGTGTGGTGATCTGGTTGTCAAATCTCTCGTAGTAGAAATATCCTGAAAGTACACGAAAGAAGGGAGGAGTGATGAAAGAGAAGAGGAATGACGAAAGAAGAAGGATTGATGAAAGAAGAGAGGAATATGAAAGAACGGATAAATTATAATAGTAGGGAGGAATGATGAGAGATGACAAAATAATGAAAGAAAGAAGTAGTACGGGGAATTCAAAACAACGGTAAAGAAAACTGCAAAGCAACCCAGAACACAACTGAATGAAAGATAATGCGTTGGAATGAAAGCTCTGAGGATGACCTACGTCCTTCACATGCCTCCAAAGAATTACCTTTGGCCTGATTATTGCATCTTACCTGGACGTATTGTGATAACTCATTTAAGACCATTTGGGAGATGCATAAAATTACTCTAAGATGGTTCCAGGAAAACTCATCAAAGCCAAACTCTCCCTCCACGTCGCCCCTAAAAGACGAAAGCAACAAGACTCCAGAAGAGGATTTAACATCAAGCATCTGGAGTATCCAACGATAACACATGCTTTCAGAGAGCAGCTCGAACATGGGCTGATAAACAACCTGACAACAAACAACCCAAATCCCAGTGCAGAATGGGGGTATTCTCGACACTGCCATGCCAACAACCTGCAGAGACCCTCGGCCAGATCGAAAGAATACACCAGGACTGGTTTGATGAAAATCACCCGGAAATCAACGTACTCGTCGATGATTAACGTACTGTTTTAACTGACTGACAGAAAAACCTTAAGTCTCGGACCGAAGCTGTTACCTTCAAACACAAGAAAGCGGCAGCCCAGCACGAACTTCGCAATCTAAAGGACGACTGGCTTAAAAATAAAGCATGTGAAACAAAAATTTGCAGATCAGCACAAGATGTGCGAATTTCTAAATTCCACTCAAAAAATTTATGGGCCAATTACTCGTGGCGCAGCTCCTTTCTGCTCTCTGACGGTAACCACATAATTAAAGATGACGAAGGCCTCCTTCAGTGCTGGAAAGAGCACTATCATTCATTGCTCAACCGAAACACTGATGTGGATGTCCTGACTACCCAACAAGTTCTTCAGCACCCAAAGATGACCCACCTCAGTTATCCTCCATCCCTGGATGAGGTAGTTACAGCCATCAAACAGATGAACAATAACAAAGCCACAGAGCCCGATGGAATCCCAGCCGAGGTATACGAGTATAAAGCAGGAGGACTCTGCTTATCAACCACCTCAACTCCTCCTGGAGAATATATGAGAGGAGGAGGAGGAAATCCCCCAAGCTCTTAAAGACGCCTCCATCGTCAATATTTATAAGAACAAGGGAGACCGGTCACACTATGACAACTACCGCAGGATTTCGCTGCTGTCCGTAGCTGGTAAGATTATCGCCCAAGTCCTCCTAAACAGACTTCTTCCTGAAGCGAAAAACTTCCTCCCAGAATCTCAACGTGACTGTAGACCATCACGTGGCACCATTGACATGATCTTTGCTGCCCGCCAGATACAGGAAAATTGCAGAGAACAGCGTCGTGACCTGTGCATGACCTTCAGCGACCTAACCAAGGCCTTCGTATCGGTCAACAGGGAAGCCCTCTGGCGGACCCTCAGCCGTTTTGGCTGCCCACCAAAATTCTTCGCTATTGTGAGGCAACTCCACAATGGCATGAACGGCAGTGTCCTGCACAACGGCACCCAGTCTGAGTTATTCCCCATCCAAACAGGAGTAAAACAAGGGTGTGTACTGGCACCAACTTTTTTCCATTTTCTTGACTGCCTTCTTCACTCCTGCCAATGCCGATTTAGCCGGTGGGGTGGACATTCAGTACCGGATAAAGGGACTTTTCAACATAAAACGACTCCAGGCAGGAACAAAGGTGTCGACAGCTTCCATTACTGAATTTCAGTATGCAAACGACCTCACCCTTGTCGGTCACACTGAATGAGACCTACAAGAGATCCTGAACACCTACGCAGACGCATATGCACATTTCGGCCTTGAGGTGAATGTACTTAAGAATCAGATTCTTTTCCAACCTGCCCCTGGTTCAGCCACACCTCCACCATCCATCCAGCTTAACGGTACTACCCTCTCTAATGTTACCCACTTTCGGTATCTCGGCTCCCACCTGTCCACCACCGCGGACATAGATGAAGAGATTCAACATCGGAGCAGATGTGCATCTCAAGCCTTTAGCAGACGAAAGAAGACCAGTGCCAACGTCGGAAAGACGCCGCCGCCGCCCCTCCCGCACTATATGTTGCCCTCCACACGCGCAACATCTGTGGACGACCCTGCCGGTCCTGTATCAGCCTCTCGAGTCACCCCAGAGCTCGCCAACGAAGGTGGATGATCGTCATACTCGATTCCGAGTGACAGCAAAGTTGTAATCAATTTATTTTTCATTTTGCCACTTACAGCGGCTAATTTATTGTGCAACCCATACTCATCCTGTGACCAGTAGTACAAAAGAATTACAGATTAGGGTTTACAAAGGGTCAGAATAATTACCCCCCGCGGTCAGGATATTATGGCACTGAATGTTACACAGAATTTCAAATAAATTCTTTGTTTAGTTCTATACATAAAGGGTAACTTATTCACAACTGCGTGAGTACAGGAGTGTGTCTGGCCTCACACTTTGTTATTCACATTTGCGTGAGAGGTATTGAAGCATATTGTGTGTTTGGTTCAATGGTAGTAGTAGTGTGTGTGTGTGTGTTGAATGACTGTATGTGTAAACGATAAAACGAAAGAACAATCTAGTTTGGCAATGAGGGATGTTGTGCATGACGGGGCGACAATTACCATAACCAGTATCCAGTGGTCAAACAGTCCCTCATCCTCTCCTGCTAATAATACACCTGTCACTCCCGCCACGATGGTGTCAGGAGGAAGTCAGCACTATCTGCCATCTAACACGCCAAGAGAACACACTAGTGATGCTGATATACAAGTCCTTGAACCAGATAACTTACCCGGTGACGCCAGGAGCACGTTGTTCCTTTCGAGGCAGCGGTTGAGGGAGGTGAGGTAACAGCTTCGAGTATCATTGTGGAGGAGGAAGGAGATACAGAGTGGGGTAGCCAGACACAGGTGACTACACTCCAACACCCCCTTGGGAGACAACGCTTCAGCTGATGACATAAACAAAGGTATTATATTATTTTTCATCCATGAGATTGTGAAGTGTATTTATGTTTGTTGTAATATTTAAAAGTTGACCGTCGCCCCGCCAGTGAGGTCACAACACACAGATAAGCACCCCTGGGAAACTACCACTATCCTCTGACCAGGTGGTATAGTGTTGATCAGTCAATACTGGGAACAACCATGGGTCGCCTCTACACCTGACCACGAGATAACAAAGTGAGGTACTGTAACACCACACCACACCATACCACACCACACCACACCACACCACACCACACCACAACACACCACATCACAGGGTTTCTCGAGCTGTAACACCACACCACACCACACCATACCACACCACACCACCACACCACACCACACCACACCACAGGGTTTCTCGAGCTGTAACACCACACCATCTTTTTGGTGTAGATTAATAGGGTCTTTCTCTCTTCTAATTTCTTTTAACTCTTTTATTTTTTCGCCCCCCCCTCCCTTCCCCCCAAGGCCCTGTTGTGGATCGCTGACCTGTGCCCGGGTGAGCTATTCCCCGTAAAAAGAAAACAAAAGGAAAAAAGTGAGGTTCTTTATATCAACACCTACTGACGAGTTACTGCACCTCGTGACCACACACGGTAGGGCAAGAGACCAGCCCGGGCCATCAACTGTAACTATAATTTGTATGTTCAATTCATGTTCCTTCTCCTTTTAGTAATGAAAGATTTTGTTAAACGACCCAATCTTCCCCGTGGCTTTGATGTAATAAGTGATTTCTTTCCTATGTACAGTAAATTTTCTGCATTTTGTCTACCGAATTTTTTCAATAAACTGTTAATTATTATTATTATTATTATTATTATTATTATTATTATTATTATTATTATTATTATTATTGCGCACACACACTCACACACACGGAGGGACTCTATTTGTACTTACAAGTGGTTAGAATCGTCATCTTCAGCAGGTAGCTCTTCAGTACATTCTGCGGCATACTGTTCCTGTACCTGGGTCCTGTGAGGAAGTATGTGCCGCCAGTCAAAGCCCACAGCCTCACCACCATCAGACACACACACACCGCCGTCAACAACCACATCTCCAGAAACAGGTGGAACTTCTGTCAAGCTGGCGTGTGGTGTTGTGTGAGAGAATTAATCAGTGTTATGTTGTTGTTGTTATTATTATATATGGGTTGAAACTAAGGCACAAATATCATAAGAGAATGTTAAAATCACCTTATAGATCTGGTGTGAAGAGTGCTGGTGTCTGGGCCTGCTTACGGCTCTGCAGGCCAAATGGCATGACCCCTGCTTTTATAACACACACACACTCACGCACACACATCGACTCCAGAGGCACACACACACACACACACACACACACACACACACACACACACACACACACACACACACACACACACACACACACACACACACACACACACACACACACACACACACACACACACACACACACACACACACACACACACACACACACACACACACACACACACACACACACACACACACACACACACACACACACACACACACACACACACACACACACACACACACACACACACACACACACACACACACACACACACACACACACACACACACACACACACACACACACACACACACACACACACACACACACACACACACACACACACACACACACACACACACACACACACACACACACACACACACACACACACACACACACACACACACACACACACACACACACACACACACACACACACACACACACACACACACACACACACACACACACACACACACACACACACACACACACACACACACACACACACACACACACACACACACACACACACCATTTCTGCCATATGCCAGACGCTCCCACGGCTTGACACAACCACTCTCCCTGCTTACCTACCAGCCCCCTTCCCACTGACTTAGTAGAAGAATTTGACGTAGCAAAACGCCTGGACAAACTAAAATTAAAACGCTCTACCACCCCCATTGACTTACCAATGAAACTCTTCAAGGAGTTCTCCCCGGAGCTTACTAAACCCCTATGCTCCATCATCAATGCTTCTCTCAGTCAAGCCAGATGCCCAGCTGACTGGAAGACATCTTATGTATCACCAGTGCCCAAGTCAACCAGCCCACAATCCTTAAATCAGCTACGACCTATTGCAATCACCCCAATACCCAGCCTAATCTGTGAAAGTTTTGTGTTCGATTGGGCTTATGCTGATATTGCAGGAGTCGTAGACCCTCAGCAATTTGGCAACATGAAAACTTCCTCCACCACTCACTGTCTTGTCAGCTTTCTCGATTACATATACCGCCATCTCGAGAAACGAAAAACGTCTGTAGCTGTCGCCTTCAATGATTTCACTAAAGCGTTCGACCTAGTCGACCACAATATAATCATCAACAAAGCTATTGACCTCAGGCTTCGGAGAAGTCTTATACCATGGCTTACAGACTTCCTCAGTGACCGACGCCAAGTTGTACGCTTCCGAGGGGCTGTCTCCACCTTTCAGTCACTCACCTGTGGCGTCCCCCAAGGCACCAAGATGGGACCACTCTGCTTCCTTATGCTCATCAATGATGCCCTAAGAGAAACCCCTGCTCGCTGGAAATATGTCGACGACTCCACCATTAGGATCAGCGTCAACAATTCTGCTCCCCACTATACCGCCCTTCAGGATTTATTGAACAGTCTCCAAAACTGGGCCACCAACAACCAGCGCTCACACCATCAACCATACTAAGACCATGGTTATGCACATCAACCCTCCTCCGACATTGTCCCACCTCCCTTCCACATCGTAGGTCCGGAACACACCCAGGTTGTAGATTCCACGAAGCTCCTCGGCGTCACCAGCAGCATACCAACCAAATTGGAAACCACACGTCAGTGAAGTTATCAAATCCTCCAGTTTGCCCCCACCTCCTGCCGACTCAAGTCCCTCGGAGTTCCTGCACGAGCCTCAGTGTTTACACAACATTCATACTTCCCAAGCTCACCTATGCCTCCCCCACCTGGTCTTCCTCCCTGAATGCCACACAACGTAAACACCTAGAAAAAGTGCAAAAGAGGGCATGCAAGATTATTCTCTCCCCTTCCTACTCCACATATCAAGAAGCGCTCAACACACTGACCCTTTCGACTCTCACTGACCATCACCACGACCTCATCTACAAATTTGGTAAGAAGCTTCTACACCATCCCCGACACCGGCTCCTACTACCACCTGAGATCCCTTGTCCGAGAATTGCTGTTCGACACCACAACCGCATCCAGCCCATACGTGCACGAACTGATCGCTATAAGAACAGCCCAGTCCCAACCATTGTAAAATTATCAATAACTTGTAATAAATCAGTGTATTCACTCCCAGTAAACACTGCTCCTTACACTGTCACTATGTTGAAATGAACTGTAGTTTGAGCTTTTCCCCATCTAGTTATTATATGTCTTATTTGTGTCACTTATGTTACTTGTATATTATTTGTAATTCGTAACCCATTCCCCAAATATGTAACTGTATATTTTCAGCCTTCTGCTGCCAAGCTCTTTCAATAAACCGTTAATTATTATTATTATATACACACACACACACACACACACACACACACACACACACACACACACACACACACACGTACACGCACGCACACACACAAACACACACGCACGTGCTTGAAGGAAGACTTTAAAAATTGGGTGACTTGTGTCTTATAATTGAGAGAAAGAAATGGACGAGTTGTCGGTTCTGGGTAAACACAAGAAATACACTCTGCCACGTTCGTAGAGTGATACAGTATATATAATTTGTAATAAAAGTTTAAAGTCCTGCTATAATAGTAGAGATAAGTTTATTTTTTCTTGAAACAGGGCCGACATTTGCAATAACGTCACCACCTACCCAGCAGATGACGTTCTCGAACAAACTCACTGCTGCAGTCAGAGCCTAACAAAGGATGGCCTCTTCAGACCCCAAATGCCACGTTCAGGTAAGTTTTAAGGATGGTTTTTATGGTCTAAGTCATGAACATTTCGTAAGTGAAGAAATGTGCCGTGAAGAGCAGCTTCAAACATAAGTTGGATGGATATATGAGCGATAGGGGTTGGGTGTAAATGGGACTGCCCAGGATGGGTCAATAAGCCCGCTGCAGTTTCCTCCATTCTTATGTTCTTATGGACATAAAAAACTCCCATGTTCACACCAGTTAAGCTGTCGTGTATTCTTACCTGGTAGACTTTCTTTTTTTTTTCAATGCATTTACAGAGTATATCAGTACTAGATGGAGATACGCGTCAATTTAAAAGTAATGACATCGTCTGGACTTTGTTTTGAGAATGCCTGATGCTAGGTAAACATGACAACATAGTGCTGTTATTGTTTTGATGATTCACTAATGAACCATTGGGATATATCATCATTTATATTAATTAATGGGTAAAATTTTACTTGAATTACCATAAGTATTTGGATGCTTAGATTCGAGATAGGCATTATTGGGTAAATGTTAAGTTTTGGTCATCCCTGTACTTAGACATGCAGACTATGGTTTTTCTGGTGGTTTGAGATGTGTTATGAACGATTAAGACTCATATCTATCGGAAATCACTTGTTATGAGTTACTACCCCCCCCCCCTTACCGGTGTATGTTAAGCTAACCTTATCACTTATATCTTATTATACTCTAACCTAACGTAACCTAACCTAACCTAACATATGACCTGTATTTTCTTATGAGATCGAAAAATGTTTTGCAACAGAAATCCCGTAGAGATAATGTGTCTTATTGTTTAAAGTACTTAATCCCATAGTTAGGATCTTAAGGTTCCCCAGATGACCAAAACCAAAATAATACCAATATTGTTTGGAATGTTTATACTATGAAATTTATAGTAGAGGGCAGCTAATATCCACTGAATAGTTAATGTGCTCAGTAATGTTTATATATTCAATGGAGGATGACTGTGTTGCACAGTAAAGCACAATTAATTATCTAATAATATTTTTTACAGAGCCGATCAGCCGAGAAGGTTGGACAACTACCTCCAGATGACAGAAATTTACCCAAAGTAGAAGACTTTATGATTGTAGAGTATCACAAGAACTCGGCCATCCAGCTATGAAGCACGTTAAATTACATCTGTCATCTGATCATCTCAAGACCATCCCCTGGTTATTGTCGTCCTTAGTCCTTCCACAACATTAAATATAAACATCAGTGACGAAAACTTACATTTTCCAGACATGAAATAGGGAACAGTGATGAAAACTTCCATGTTGGAGTTATCGGTCTATTGCATCAGCCAGCAAGTAAATACACACGATGATACTTGAGCAGTAATTTATCTTAACCTAACAATAAGGTATGCCTGTGTATATCAACATTGTATATGGCCACAAGTCCTGCTGGTAACAACACATACACCACAGCTGGCGGCTTGAGCTAGTATGTGACGTCAAAACCAATCACAGAGCTTTTCGCAGTCACGTGACTTTTTAGCTTCTTTAACCCTTTTTTTTTTACATTTTGGGCCCAATTTATTTTAAAATATAATTACCACAGTGAATTAAAGCGTTTTCTTCACCCATTGACCTGCCAGCTTACGAAAAAATTCCGTCCGACAACTCGTCCATTGTCAAGCTTATTTCTAGCTTTATTACTATTATTATTATCATCATTATTACCTACCACACGCCATAAAACACACTTACAAAATACACTTAACTTTAAAAATAATCGTCAGTCACCCCAATAAATGGCTGCCCAAATCACACGTTTCAGCTCTTAACACCAAAGAAATCATGGCGTAAATACTATAAGTAAATGTGACTCCCGATTAATTATGGAGGTGAAATAGTGATGAATAGTATGTACATTAGTAATAGCTTCCTTAGGTTGGGGGGGGGAGCTTTGTTCGGGGTCAAATTAAATCAATTATTTCCTTTGACTTGTGTACCGAAATGAAAGGTGGAATTAGCTGCTGTGTTGTGAGTCACTGTAAGTGGTTCAGTAAATTAACCTGGAAATATGTGAACTAAACCTAGCTTATAAATGTTGGGTTTTGGTCTCACGTTGAACTGGAAATGTGGACCTATTACACCACGAGAGAAAACCATTATTTGTGTGTTTGCGTGTGTTTGCGTGTGTTTGCGTGTGTTTACGTGTGTTTATGTGTATGTGCTGTTGTTGGAAGTTGTAAATCAATAGTCTTAAACAATTATTGAACCTCTTTCTCTGTTCACTGTGGTATGATGACGGTTCGTGGTTCAATTTAAAGACTTCAACTACCCTCGCTGAGTACCCTAAGTGTGTGTGTGTGTGTGTGTGTTAAAAGGAACTGAAGTTTAACATTGTCACCCAAACACCTATGAACCACGAACTCAGCGCCCCTCCTCCTTTCAGCTCCATACACACACCCACAAAACACATTTATACGCCCCTCCACATGTCTCTATCCCTCCCATAACTCTCTACCCCCTACTACACCCCCCTCTCTATCCCCCTCGCGCATGGCAGGTGATGGTAGGTCACTATACAGGTATATATATATGGACCTCCGTTCATTGCACACACCTGGAGCTGAACCGTGCCATCCACCTGGTGCTCTTATACTTCAGGTAGACGACGTTAGTATACACATTGACTTAATATATTGAAATTAATTAAATAATCTCGTTTTTATTGAGATATTTTCGTTTTTTTTTTGTATTACCATATTTGAGTTTTAGTCATTGCAATATTTTAGTTAAGAAGAAATTAATGCATTGTCTCTCCTATGGCGAAACCTATCTCTCTACTCATTGTATCTCTCCTGGGCATTATCTCATCCCCAGCAGAGACAGAGAGAGACAGATAACGTGTGAAGAGACATATGTGGGTGTTGAATACTATATGGTGGACGTGGTGGGTATCGTTGGGAGGGTGGGTGTGGGGTACCTATGGGTCTCAGCTCATCACCACTAGAGGCACCTTCATCACCACTGGCCCAGAGTATAAGAATACCCTTCCTGTTGGGGTTATTGGTCATTACTTCCTTACCAAGATGAAAATATCAGTTGGTGAGTCGCATACAGTACATACATACATACATACATACATACATACATACATACATACATACATACATACATACATACAGAAAACAGACATGTACACTCACTCATCACCACCACCTCATGTGTTGTGTTCTATTGTGTTGTGTTATATTGTGTTGCGTTATATAGTTTAGTGTTGTGTTGTGTTGTTATGATATGTTAAGTGATGTTTCTTTATTTTCTTCGTTACCAGAGGAGGTGTTGAGTCCCTGGGGAGTGATGGAGTGTGGGCGATTCTGTCTGGCAACATTCAACTGTTCCTCTACAGTCATCCATCCAGCCACACGCACCTGTTTCCTCTCCTCCCTCAACCGATGCACCATGAGGAATGTACTTGCATTACATGAAGGTGTGTTATGTAGTGTAGGAGGGAGAGAGAGAGAGAGAGAGAGAGAGAGAGAGAGAGAGAGAGAGAGAGAGAGAGAGAGAGAGAGAGAGAGAGTCTGCTAAACTTTTTCATAACTAATCTGACAGATGAAACATACAATTCCTTCACTCTTTCAGGTTATTTCTACTACGAGATGCAGCCCGGCAACAGAACCCTCGGTGACACTACCTGCTTCTCTACATGTATGAAGAAAAATAATAACTGTAATGTTTGTGGTCGTCCAAACTGCTGGGGGTCCAAATGTGAGAATTTTCCCCATTATTGCTGGGACCTACGACCTCTCAAGAAAGGCACCTTACTTCTCTGGTTAAATACTTCGAAGATTATTAAGGTGTCTTGTGATTACGGCTGGCAGAAGATATGGCCGAGCAAACTCCAAATCCCTAATATACATCTCTTACTGGCAGTGAGAATTGTCTACATGAATGACGAAGTTGTGAATTCAACCTTCAGCTCTGTAGCAATGGCGAATGGTGTACTGAGTGTAGGGGACTATATCGAGGGTGTAGCTGGGAACGAGTGGGGGGCGCCATTCACTAATCGGACACTCGTTAAAGAAAACAAGCAATCCACCTGCAAGAGCTTCTTCTATTCTACAAATAACTGTGAAGCTCAAGGTGTCAGGAGCGTGGAGGAACAGCTAAAGCTCTACAACGGGACTATCAAACACCGTGGCTTCAACTGGATCACTGGCATCACCTCTAAAGACAGTCTGGAAATCAAGGATATCTCTCTTTGGGTGAAGCCAGCTGAGTGATGATGACTGCTGGTGGTGATGACTCTTGGTGATGACTGATGGATATGACTTTGTGGTGATGGACTCTTAGTGATGGTGATGACTGCTGGATATGACTTTTGGTGGTGATGACTACTGTTGGTGATGACTCTTAGTGATGGTTATGACTGATGGATATGACTTTTGGTGATGACTGCTGTTGGTGATGACTCTTTGAGATGAATGCCGCTGGTAATACCAACTGATGGTGATAACTCCTGCTGATGATGAGTTTTGGTGGTGATGACGCCTTGTTGGTGAGGATTCATTGTGGTGATGACTGTTATTGATGACCCCTGTTAGTAAAGACTTCTGGTGGTCATCACTCCTGTTGGTGATGACTTGATAATGATGACTCCTGCTGGTAATGACAACTGGAGGTGATGACTGCTGTTAGTGATGACAACTGGTGTGATGAAATTTAATAATGATGACTACTGGTGGTGATGATTGCTGGTGATGACTCCTGCTGAAGACCAAAAAGGTATAATGATATATCTTGTTTATATCATAATTATATACTGTGACGCAGGCTGTTGTCTGTACTGTACTTTAACCACTAAGATATTTAAGCACGTGTTCTATGAAAGTTTGTACACTAGATAAGCTATGAACATTATGAAAGGTAATTCTATTTAACATAAGCTTGTATATGTAGGATTTGATTTACAAAATTGATCTCTCTCTCTCTCTCTCTCAAAAAAAGAAAAAAGTCAAATAACCAGTTCAGAAAAGTCCAAATCACTTGATGTGTTCTAAGGTATCCTGAGTACAGTATTACTACGTGTAGCCTTATTATTTTACTATTTTTATCATGATGCACAACTTATAATTTGTAGTTATTAATTGAAAAAAGGAAATAAACTTGTAAGTCAATTATGAGATAATTTTGTTTCATTTTTTTTGTCTATTAACCATTATCATCATACCTGCAGTGTCTATGTACAGTTGGGGACTTTTCCGACTGGTACATTCGGTGTTGTCAATCTACCCTTTCCATGAGGTATGAACCCTGCGACTCGTAAATCAGAAGCTTTTACGATAAATAGGGAGATGGGGGCTGAGGGATGATGGGGCTGGGGGATGATGGGGCTGGGGGATGGGGGGGCTGGTGGTTGATGGGGGCAGGGGATGATGGGGGCTGGGGATGATGGGGGCTGGGGGATGATGGGGCTGGGGGATGATGGGGCTGGGATGATGGGGGCTGGGGATGATGGGGCTGGGGATGATGGGGCAGGGGATGATGGGGCTGGTGGTTGATGAGGCTGAGGGATGATGGGGCAGGGGGATGATGGGGCTGGGGTTGATGGGGCTGGGGGTTGATGGGGCTGGTGGTTGATGGGGTCTGAGGGATGATGGGGCGGGGATGATGGGGGCTGGGGGATGATGGGGGCTGGGAGATGATGGGGGCTGGGGATGATGGGGTTGGGGGATGATGGGGCAGGGGGGATGATGGGAGCTGGTGGTTGATGGGGCTGAGGATGGGGCAGGGATGATGGGGCAGGGGATGATGGGGCTGGGGGATGATGGGGCTGGGGATGATGGGGCAGGGGATGATGGGGCTGAGTTGGTTGATGTGGGGCTGAGGGATGATGGGGCAGGGGATGATGGGGGCTGGGGGTTGATGGGGCTGGGGGTTGATGGGGCTGGTGGTGGGGGCTGAGGGATGATGGGGCAGGGGATGATGGGGCCGGGGGATGATGGGGGCCGGTGTGTGAGCAGATGGCGGGTTATGGGGTCTGAGGAGGTTTCTTGGGGCTACAGGGATGGGAGACGTTACAACACAGTCTGTATTAAGCAAAACACATCTAATGCTGAGAATGTGTTGCTGCAATCCGCTCTTAATCGATACGCAAGTTCTTTAATCGATACGCAAGTTCTTAATATAAACTCGAATTTTTCTCTGCGTATATTTTTAACTGGAGTGCATTTGTATTGAGCAGAAAAACTACTGGTGTTAGTTTGGATTGTTAGTATATACTTGAGCTGAATATTATTTGCATCTGTGTTGAACTTACCAAAAGAACACTGTACACGCTAAACCGAGAAAACCTCCCATTTGTGTATACGAAAACAAGACATTGAGTCTGATAAAAAGGAAAGATAGAATGTGATGAAAAAAATTGTCTCTGTATCCATTTCCATTGGAACTAAAAAAAATCAATAAGAATAGAATTTGGGTTTTTCTCCTGCATTTAAAGAACATGTTTGTACTTTACCAAATCCAGAAAAATATAATCATCAACCCAGCCATTGACGATACAGTACACAGATCCTACAACCCCGACTTAAGGTAGACCACAAAAGTTCAATATTTTTCACAATCTACTCAAACACATATGAACTACCAGAAGTCTTTATAAGGCAGTCAATAAAACCACATGCCCAAATGCCTTAAACCTAAACCAAATAAAGGTATTAGATAACAATTGTGTAACAGTAAGAGGACTACCGTAAAGTAACTATATTTTACGACACTTTTCTCTCTTTAATTCCATACCTCACCATAAATACAGTATACACATTTTCATGAGTATATATGTATGTGTGTGTGTGTGTGTGTGTGTGTGTGTGTGTGTGTGTGTGTGTGTGTGTGTGTGTGTGTGTTGTGCCGTGGGGGGGTTGACAAATAGCTCTAAATATCATCAAATGTGTATGTGTGTACCCCGGGTCGGTAATGTCCCCCTTGCAGGAGGTTGTGTGCCCCACCTCGAGTGCATTACCTATCCAGGGTGTATGAACATTTAATTAAAGTTAAAAAATAAATAAAATAATAAAAAAATCCAACATAACGTTATAAAGTATTGTTTACTCTGTCCCTCCATAAACAAATCAATATGGAATTCCGTGGTTGACCTTTTCCAAACCTTTACCGGTCTTATCCTCGTCGTTTTACAGAGAAACATATGACTGACCAACTACTGTCATGTCCACATTACAAATACAAGTATGACACAGGATATAGTACTGTCTTTATATCCACTACATCAAAATTTACATATAAGTACGACTGTGTATCAATATTCATGTGTTTAGCTTTTTGGAAGAAATAGTTGTCACCAAAAAGTAGAAGAATATGATAATAGTTTGTTTAGTAATACTTGACATGATTGAACTGGCCTTATGAGCTACCTGACGAAATTTCTTCATGGAAAATAAAAATTTCATTACTTTCAGAAAAAAAAACTGGTGAAGGAAAGTGTTTTGTGTCACTTCACTTCACTTCACCTGACTGATGGCTCCTCTTAGTCAGACGTTGTTGTTGTTGTTCCTGGAGATTTGTTTATTTACATAAGATGGTAACCAATTATTATCTCAAGTTTTTTTCGTCTGACAATTTCTCAAAGAGCGTGAACAGATTAAACAACAAGAACACATCATCATTCCTGAAATTACTGTTGTGAAAAATATCAAGTAATTTAAATATGACATCATTGACACTCAAGAGGTCAGCAGCTAGCAATTAGTTATTAAGGCAAAATATTCTTAGTCTATAATTTTTTATAACTTACCAGATCTCACCTAAAGTACTACAAATAAATCACAGTATAATCTCCTTAAACACAATAGATTTCCTTTCATAAAAGACCATTCCTACAGTGTAAAGCTAACACTAGTGGCGGCCATCTTCCACCGCCCATTTTATAAACCAAAACTGATATCTGGCCAAAAAAAAAAAATCCTCCTACACTTTGTCAGTTTCTCGAGGAAAGAAAGTTTTTATTTTCTAAGGAGGAATTTAGTCAGGTAGCTGTTAAGGCTGGAACAACATCTTGAATATTACCCAAAACAGTAAAAATACTCACTGATGGTCTTGTTGGTGGAGTCATCCCGTGGTCACTAATTATCACTTAACCGACATCAAATATTTTCACATAACCGAGAAAATTAATTGTCATTTAAAGGAGATCATTATTTTCACTTAACCGAGATCACTGGGTAAGTAGAGGCGACAGTTAGCACCAAAAGGACTTCGTGGAATTGCACCAAATTTTCATGAAGTGTTTGGATGATACTGAGTAATAAAATCGAATTGACAACATTGTAGCATTTTTTTTTTCTTTTTTAGCCTATCCGTCGATCATAAGATACCTGTTAGTGGGCAGGTCATGAAACAAAAGAGAATAAGCAGGGTAAAAACATTGCAAACACTAGTCATTAACAGTAATTTCACATCTGTAAGTCCTTTGTAGGTGAAGAAATTAATTATTTACAGTAATTACCGGACCGTATACCCCGAGCCAGCAAGCGAGGAGATAACGATGGAGGAAGAAGACGAAATCCCTACAAAAAACAGAACACACCACCAAACTCAACACCACTAAACTCAACACCACCAAACTCAACACCACCAAACTCAACACCACCAAACTCAACACCACCAAACTCAACACCACTAAACTCAACACCACCATAGAGAATAAAACTAACACTATAGCACCACCACCGTCACCCAGAAAGACCACGAGAGAATGAACACCTGGGAGACGAAATTAGGTTGCGATTTTTCACCACTACACCCCCCCTCCCCGCCATAGTGTCAACAAAGACTCCTGGTAGAAATAAGGTAAGGCAAGATAAAATACAAATACACAGACAAAACCCTATAAGACTCACATATTGAAACTCTAAGAAGGGACGAATTCTCACAAGACACAACAGGATAGAGAGAGTTGATCAGTTATCGTATAAAAAATCCGCCTTGGCCTGCTGACGGAGAGAAGGGGGTCAGGGGATCAGCGGTCGGCAAAGATGACGCAAACCAGCTCTAGGCACCAGCTTTCATTATAAACAAACTTAAAATAATCCAACACAATGTTTTAGCATGGATCCCACAGAGAGCAAGCGAACTATTTAACACACACCGTAACATAGAGGTAGATATTATCCTCATAAATTCGCATGGTAAGAAAAACTCAGAAAAATTAAAAATATTAAAGTTCACAGTCTATCAAAAAAAAACAGTCAAGATCCACTACATGACGGAATTGCTAGAGCCATCAAACGGAACATACAGCACAAGATACACGACTCATTTCAAGAAAACTTTCTGGCCATTGAAATAAACAGCCCAACATATTTTCTGGGTGACCTAAATGCACTACACCGTGTTTTGGAGCACCAGGACAACAACGCCGTAGAGCAAATCCTAAACACATTCTTGAACCACGACAACGCTATACACCTTGGCCCGGAATTCCCCCCCCATACATCAGACCAGGTCACATCGGGCATCCACACATCGTATTAACAAATCAACATCGCCATCTTAACCTACTAACAGAACGTGGCCCAATAACCACCAGTGACCATCACCCTATCGTAGCCACACTCTCCACGTCGCCAATACAGATCCCTGCCAGGATGAGACACAGCTACAGCCGGTCCAACTGGGAGGAATTCAAACAAGAGTTAAGCAACCATCAAATCACCCAACTACACAACAAACACGCCTCCCAAATAGACAACACACTGGAGATATGGAACGAAAACGTGAACCAAGCAATGGAACACCACATACCCAAGACCACTCACCGTACATTACCACACCCTCAGTACTCACATCAAGCAAGAATTCTACAGACACAATTCAGTTACTAAATGAAATTAATCATAGAACAATATAGTACGCCAGAATACAGAAGACAATATAACATCATACACAAACAATTAAGAAACATGTCCAAAGAAGCATACGTGAATAACTGGGAGAAACTGATAACAGACACAGAAGCAAATTACCACAACCCGAAAAAATTATGGCGGAAAATTAAACACTTAATGGGAACCTCCAACAATGAATTAAACTACATTTTAAATTGCAATTAAATCAAATTAACTCAACCTAAAGAACAAGAACCCGAATTCAGGAAATATTGGAGCAAAATATTCCAAATAAGTCACGAAGAAAACCTGAATTTCTGTATAAACACCGAGCGACAAGTAACCAATCACATGACACACACAACCCACATCTGGCAACCAAGTCCCAGCATAGACATAAACACTCTTGACGATCGAGGAACCCATACAGCCTTAGCCCTAATTTATGAAAACATAGCAAACGCAATGCACAATAGAGATCAATGCAACGTAGTATTAAGGGACGTAGTAAAAGCATTCGACAAGGTCTGTCACTTAGGGCTCAAATACAAAATAACCAACCAAGAACTTCCCCAACAACTTTACTTCTTTTCTTTGTAACTTCCTTGATAACAGAGAAGCAAAAAATATCATTGGTAATCACATAGGCCCAAGCATCAAGTTATACAGCGGAGTACCACAGGGAAGTAACCTCTCGCCCACACTCTACACAATATACACGTCGGACATGCCACCTCCTATACACGGAGAATACGTAGCTTATGCCGATGACTTAACCCTAATCATCCGACATTCAGGCAAGGGCAAATAGATGATGGCACGAAAAACAGCCCACGCCATCGAGCAAATTAACGATTATAAATAAAAGCGGAAAATTCAAACTAATACGCAGAAACTAAAGATCATTCACACTGCCAAAACAAACCCAGCATTAATCACAGTTAACAAAAAAACTGGGACTCACAATAACAAGAACAGGCATAACAAAACACCTAACACAACGAAAAATGCTTGTCCAATCACAACTCACAAAACTACGAAGATTCATCAAAATGGACACCAACATTTAACTACACCTATTCAAAGCACTTGTCTGCCCCCACCTGGAGTACCCACCAATACCACTCAGCACGATCAGTCAACTTAAGCTTCAATCAGTACAAAACAAAGCTTCCGTAGAGCATCAAAGCAACCCCCCCCCCATACACCACCAAAATACAAGAACTTCATGAACTATACAATATCGAACCACTGAACACACGTACAGTCACCCACAAAAGTCCTGTCGCCTCTCCTCCTGAACCACGAACCCCGAGATTCAGATTCATAAATCCGAATCATTTATGGGCAGAATAATGCATCAGTGTCTACTGTTTTGGGTTCACGTGTCTGAATCTCGGGGTTCGTGGTTCAGGAGCAAACTTGAAGAGTTGGAGGACCCAATCTTCTCCCAGTTAAAAGAAGAAGAAACCCACTTTATATAGATATATGTGAACAAATAACACCACCATTTAACAAACATAAATTAACACACACACTACACTAATGAATGCCTAGCTAGCTAAAGCCCCCCCTCCTTCCTCCCCTGAGCGAGCTGGCACGTGCTGTGTATGACCACCAGTCCACCACCCCAACCAATCAGTACAACCACCTCGACTCGGCTAGGTGGACAGCCCACCTGTAATCACTACCTACTACTTTACTTCCCGTTTATATTCTTCCCTTCTCTCTTCCCTTCTCTCTTTCTCTCACGGCAAATTCATCCGCCACTTCACTTCATTATCATCATCGGTGCCATGGGATCTTCCGTGGCGATCGTGTTTTGTTTCACGTCGTCCATGAGGGATCGTCCGCAGTCTTTGTTTACTTGTCAAAAAACATACGACGATCTCATCAGGAGAGTTTATCACGATTTACATTGGATTGAATTCGTTATTTTTAATAGAGATATTGTTTGGATGATAGGCAGTAAGAAAATCCAAACGACAATGCACAGGTTAGGAGGTTAGGTCAAGTAGGTTAGGTTAGGTCCTAATAGGTTCTGTGCCTCTCATTTCCATTTCCGTGTTCAGTATCATGTCAATAGGATCTTCAAAAAATTTGGTTCGATTCCATAGCTTATTTACGTAGCTAGACGTCTCCTCTTTCTTACCCACTTGACCTATAGATCACTTATTTTCACTTAATCGAGAACGCAAATTATCACTTAAGTCACACACTCAATATTCCAAAACAATACCAATCACTATATTATCACTTAGCACTGAAGATGTGATTGATATTATCGTTATTTTTTTACCAAGAAATTATCAAATACGTTTGAGATAATGTTTGTCCCCAACAGCCGTAAACCTTGGCATGACACTTTAAACTTCTCACCATTCCTCACCAGAGCTTTATCTTATATGTTTGTCGCGTCATTATTCTAGCAATGTTTTACAGAGTCGATGTGGGAATCAGGTTATGATAGTACGCTATGTGGGAGACAGTAAATGGCGTCGTTTGCCCGGCACTGGCTAGTCACTGATGGTGGACCGTCAACACTCGGGGAAACATTCGTTGTCTCGTTAAAATTCTTCAAACTGTTACTAATTTTATCATCTCAAGTTTGTTTTCCGTTGTAGTATATTAAAAATAATATTAATAAAATAAATATAAATAGATGGGTGAGAAAAATCTATCAAATGTCATATATCTTTGTAGTAATAAATATTTAATATCATATAGGAAATTTGTGGGGGTACAAATTTAACGTGTTTAGAAAGTCATAATTTAACAGTTCATAAGTTTATTTTTGATGGTCTAGTGAAGCACATCTGATTAGATTTATACATATAATAATACCAATAATGCTAAAACTAATACTGATATTAATATTGTCACAACTAAAAGAAACAGGTCGTGTTTATATGGCAGACGAGGGCAGTGTCGACCTGACTAAACCTGACGTAAAAATGGATTGTGAAGAAATTACTTTAGGCGTATGTATGGTTGTTGTTAAGTTTATAAATATAGTATTATTACACGAATGGGATATGTGCATTTGGCCTCTTGATACCCTACAAACACCCTTAAAGGCGGTTGGATAACTTCGTTGGCAACTGACCAATGCCACATGCCGTGAATTTTTTATTGTTTTAATTTTGGGTTCCACCATGAACAGGCATAACAGACCCACACAACCTGGAATATATTGTCAGTAGAGCTTATTAAACGGTGGGGTACCAATGCAGTGTAGTAGATAACATTCCTAATCTAATATCATTGCAAAGTCATCCGGAAGAAATATATATATTGTAAAAATAAATGGTTCTAAGAATACACCTCCATCATCATAACTGCTTCGTTTTCTCGCCTTAGTGCCAAGAGAAAAAAAATATTTAGATGTACTAATATTCGTGAATCAGGGCAAAGTGATGAAGTGACCACGATCAATTCCTCTCCATGGTAGATCATTATATCTTATGAGTAACATTGTCGCTGGTACCATATAGGAGGTGTTAACAGAAACGTGTGATATATGAAACATTTCTTCTCTGGTATTTGTCAATAATTAACTGTTTTCAATAGAGTAGCGGGAGGAATTATTGGTGTTTGGTTACTAATTAATGTGTGTAAAGGGGGGGGGGGGGTGTATACAGGTATATGTAAAATATGCGCCTATAAGCGAACACCAACACGACAAAAGCCAATCTCTACTGTATTGTACTGCCCTAATGGCTAATCAACATATTCACACAAGTCTTGACGTTGCCTTTTTTCTCCCTCTTATTGAAGTGTTTACTGAACCAACGCCACCTGTAAGCTCCACCTGTAAACACCACCTGTAAACACCACCTGTATTCAGCCTTTATTTACATCATTATTTAGTCTTTTCATCATCAGGAATCAATACCGTTTATAAGGGGTTTTTTTCTCGATACTTAACTCAGGGTTAGTGAATGGTAAAGTAATTTTGCTCTGCGTGACAACAATTGACCGGGATTTTTAGTCATTCAAAGGTAGAATTTCCTCTATTATGATAACACAAGAGTAATGGGAGTCAATATGCCGTACAAGCTACTCTGTGACTTTAGTACGGCCCAACGCGTTCTCTTATCAGTAGTTAAAGGACAACATTTTATTAATATGATTCTTAATGATAAGGATTTTTTTTTCACGAATAATATTAACCGAATCATAACTGGGAAACTTGAAGGGGATAGATAGATAAATAGATAGATAGATAGATAGATAGATAGATAGATAGATAAAAGAAAACTCAAACAAAAATATATAATTAAATATTGTAACAATGTCAGAGTGAGCGAGTATTTCCCGCCAAGCGTGAGTCAATTACAGTGACCTGTGAGTGTGAACGCCTTAGGCCTGAACCAATAAAAGGGCCTGTGAGACGTGAGGTCATGAAGATGTGGGGAGTCCCTTTGTAGGCTCTTGGTTTTCATTATAGAGTTTGGGTGTATCATCTTCCAACATGGCGAGATATACCGTATATATATATATAACCGATTTACTGTTACAACATCTGATAAGGTATAAAAAAAAAACATTAAAAAATAGTTCCTTTATTTTAACAAAGCATTAAACTCTATATCAAGCTTCCCGTTCACTCTTACAGGAGAGATCACGACAATACACAGTTTTTTTTTTTAAAGATCTCTGGATACATTTTCATTCTACGACGTGTGAGAACAGACTTAACCAGCGGCCCCAAGATAGTGTTGTTATGATGGAACTTTGCTGTTTATTGTAATGAAACTTTACTTTAGCCTCCAGATATGATGAAAATATGAACACGCACTACTTTGTTCATATGGCATTTAATATTAATTTAAACTTTCGAGCATACGACCAGGCTGTACCGTCAAAACTTGATTAGTATACTGAAACAAAAATCGAAGACAGTTTTATATTAATACACACGTGAGTCAATGCTGTGATCAAGCATCTTGGTGGAAAATTACAATGCTTCTGTTTTATGATTCTACATCGTGTAAGATCATTGATTCTAGGCGTATGTGAAGAATCAGTTTGTGGTTGTTATCCCTTCGTCACCACACTGCAATCTGGTTGATAACTCTGGAGCAGAAACTGTCAACCAGAGGGAAAGGATAGTGATTTGGACTCATTTTTACAGACGGTTACTGCGGGAGAGTTGATAAACAGTGATAGTGGTTAGTTAGACATTGACGAAAGCTATAAACTACGTAGCCCATTATATTGTCTGCATTTATACAGTGACTGGCGACTGGATATATAATTTCTACGAACACAAACGATGATATTGTAAAAAATAAATAAATTAGACGGTGACTGGAAGTTGTCGGCGACGAGGAACAAATTGTCCAGTATCGTCACGTTCTACACGATCCCAGTAAAGGAGGATGCCGTTCATGGCCACCCAGACCCCGGGAGCGGCAGCCTGCACACCACCCAGGGCCACACCTACGTTGAAGTCCGCATCTGTGTCTCTGTCGGCGGAAAAGGAGGAAAACAATATAAGATTTGGTATACAAGTACTACGTTTCCTCGGTAATCTTAAACATAAACACAAGTTACCCTTTTCGTATGTCGTTTTCTGTATTTTGTAGTAACATAGAAAATGGTTATATGTTATGCCCAACTAATCTATTTATCTATGTTTACTATTCAGAAGAGTTTTTGCCTTAAAATAGTCCCTTAGATTAATTTATATCAATCACCAAGAACAACAAGAGTAATAGAGGTCACCTAAACTTCTCAGGAGTGTGGGCACCGGTGAACACAATGGTCTTGTTGTTAATCCCTTGTTGTCTGAGGGCGTTGGCTAGAAAAGTGGAGGTGTGGAGAAGGGTGTCCGTACCGTGTGTTACTACCACCTTCCCTTGGGTTGATTCACACACTCTCTCCACCAGTGACGTTCTGAAAACACATTAACTTTTGTTTTAATTATCCATCCAACTTGTTCTTTGACGTCTTACTAAAACAATTGAACATCATCCCATTCTCAACCGTTCCCCGTTCACTAATAACAATCAACAATAACATCAGCCTCTTCACTGAACACAGAACATTCTCAAATTCAAATCAATTCTGACCTAAAAAAAAATAATACCATCACTTCAGTACCTATTAGATCACTTAACCTTCCACACAAAAACAGACCATCGTTAATGAATGTTCAACTTCTCCATGGCACCTGTGAGTGGGTGTTTCAGGGACTCACCTATCATCGTCAGTAAGGTCTTGGCTATCTTTCCTGCAGATGGTCTCTAACTTGACGAGGATCGATCTGGAGGGACGTAGTCGAGCCAACACCCGCCTCACCGCTGGCTCCCCGACCTCGAAACTATACCCGCTACTTGCCTTCGGGTAGTCCTTATCGATGGTTCCTGGTGACATACAGAGGATCGTAATCTTGAGAGAGAAAAAGATACAGACAGACAGAGACACAAGAACAGATAGACAGACAGACAGAGACACAAGAACAGACAGACAGACAGACAGACAGAGAGAGAAACCTATCTTCAACAGAGAGATAAAGAGACAGTTCATTATATAATTCCGGGTTGTTGTTGGGTTATAAAAAACAGAATTATAAGACTATCATGATAAGAAATTGGCTATCAACCATCCCTCCCCCCTCTCCCTCTCTTTCTCTTTCTCTCTCTCTCTCTCTTTCTCTCTCCCCCCCTCTCGTTCTCTCTCACCTCTCTTCCTTCCTTCACTGTTCCTATCTCCCCCACCTCCCTCTTCCCCTCTCTGCCCTCCCCCTCATCCTGTTTGTCTCTTCTCCTCCATTCCCATTATCACCTCTTTTCTTTCACCCTCCTTCATTTTCTGCCTACCCTCTTCTCATTCCTCCCCCCGCCAATTTTAGTGAGTGAGTGAGTGAGTGAGTGTGTGAGTGTACAGTACATCATTCGACTCACCTCCCATCTGTAGAATAAGAATCTCCTCCATGTCTTAAAAAAAGTTCAACCGCAGTTTCCGTCCAGTACCGCAGTTTCCGTCCTGTACCGCAGTTTCGGTCCTGTACCGTAGTTTCCGTTCAGTACCGCAGTTTCCGTCCTGTTCCGCAGTTCAGAATAATGTAAACACCTTCGTCTCATGTTTTCATCATATATTTTCACACCTGTCACACCTGTTACACCTATCACGCCTGTCACACCTGTTACACCTGTCACACCTGTCTATCACACCTGGCACACCTGTCTATCACACCTGTCACACCTGTCACACATGTCTCCCCTGTCACACTGTCTATCACACCTGTCACATCTGTCCATCACGTATTTCCGCACCTGTCACACCTACTGTTCCGCTTGCAAGATCACTAAACAGTCATCCAGTTAAAACAGTCAAAAGAGGATCTAGTAACCACTCACACGACAGTCATACCGGCATCACTATACACCAGTCACTATACACCAGTTATTATACACCAGTCACTATACACCAGTCACTATACACCAGTTATTATACACCAGTCACTATACACCAGTCACTATACACCAGTTATTATACACCAGTCACTATACACCAGTCACTATACACCAGTTATTATACACCAGTCACTATACACCAGTCACTATACACCAGTTATTATACACCAGTTATTATACACCAGTCACTACACAGACATTACCAGGTGCCAGTCAAGGAGGAGAGAGACAGAGAGACAGGTAGACAGACAGGTAGACAGATAGGTAGACAGGTAGACAGATAGGTAGACAGGTAGACAGAGAGAGAAGAGAGACTGACTCGCCTGTAAGACCTGAGAAGCTTGTGTGAGGGGCAGAACAGCACACACCCTACGCTCCTCCCCTTATCACCTGCCGTTGCTATCAGATGGCTCAGTAACTATGAAGATTATCAAGGGTGCAAGACCGGTGACCTCTGTCCTCTAGTTGTTTATACTGTGAGGAGAGATAGAGTCAGAGATAGACTAAGAAAGAATCATTTTGTCTGTGTGTCTGTGTGTGTCTGTGTCTGTGTGTGTGTGTCTGTGTGTGTGTGTAGAGGAGGACATCCTGGCCAATAAATACACAGGCAGGACATCCTCATCAAATCATCGTTATCCTACTGGCTATCTCAAGAGTTATCCTCACTGAGGCTCTAAATGTCAGTGCTGGCAGAAGATGTGGGGGCTAAGGTTCGCCTGTTATCGGTTAAAAGAGGAACGCCAGACGAAGATGAATGCTCGTACTGGAGTTATCTTTATAGTGCGGAGTTTCAAGTGTGTGTGTCTGTGTGTGTGCGAGGTGCGTTTTTGTGGTGGGAGTCTCATGGTTGAATGGTTATCAGTATTATCTTATCTGTTGTGTGTTAGAGTAGCGAGGCTAATCGATAATGGGTGTGTTGAGAGCCTTAGCTATCAACCATAGTCAACCACCCAACAACCATAAACAGAGTCAACCATGAACCAGAGATAATAAACCACCCCAACAACCATAAGCAGAGTCAACCATGTGTGTGGTGCTGGAAATATTCTGGTTGAGGAATTAGGTTGCTGGAAATAATCAGAATATTCGTCTGGAAAAGAAAACTAACTCCCCTATACCTTAACAGTTTATTGTTATCATGGGGTGAGTACACAGCATTAACACCCGGTATACAAAGCCTACACTTCTACACCATCTTCACTACGACATTTACACCTCAGGTACAGAATCACAATTAAGTAGATTGAGTGTATATGGGGGTTCGAACCAGTGACCCTTAGGACACAGAGGGAGTGTTGTATTTTCTCGACCACAGCATTCCATTAAGTGAAGAAAATTAACTTCAAAATACAATCAGTATAGTTAGTGTATTTATTATGCTATGGTATTGGGTTATATATATATCTCCCCACTGTAATGTATTTAATAATTGTAAAATAATAACAATTCCAGTGTATTCCTGAAGAGTTAAACTACAGATAAATAATATGAGTATTAACCTAATCTAACCAAGATTCAGATGGGTCTCAAGATGAAAAAACCATCCACCTTCACTTCTCTCACGAGCTGGTAACTAGCAGGCTTCGGCACCTCTTCTGGAATCCCGACTGTATCTAGGAAACAAAGAATAAATCACGAGAATTAGAATCTTCCCTCAGACTCACATAAACACTTATTGCTCTACTGCCTTGTAAACACGACAGCAGTTCAGATAAGTGAGGGAAATAATAAACCTGTCATTTTACTTTTTAGTTTAACAAATTTAATGGCAGAGCTTGTAGCACAGTTTGCCTATTCTGAGTAATTCAGTCAGGTCTTGACACTGAGGGTGGTATCACTTCTCACTGCCACGCAGGACAGAGGTTCATACACAAAGAAATACATCATATTCATTAACAACTATAAATGTATAGAGGTCAAATTCATATGGGTAATGTCACTGTTCACTGCCATGCAGGACAGACGTTCGTACACAAAGAGATGCATCATATTCATTGACAGTACATATACATATATGTAAACACACACATATACATACATATACATATATACATACACATATACATGTACATGCACATATATATACACACACACGCACACATACATACATATACGTCGGTCAGATTCATGTGGGTAATGTCACTGTTCACTGCCACGCAGGACAGAGGTTCGTACACAAAGAAGGAAATACATCACATTCACCAGCAGCATATATAGGTCAGTGGATCACATACATTGGAGTCATATTCTAATTGAAGACTAATCAGTGTGGGCTAGCAAATTTGGGATAAACAGCAAGAATGTCCTCAAGCACACCTGATTCAATGAAGTAATTACATAGTTCAAGATACAATAAGTCAGGTGGCCTGAAGTCTTTGACAGTGTCACATTCAATAATATAGTGTTCAAGTGTATGCTTTAAAGGTTTATCACAAAGTTTACATGCTGAGTGTTCCGGTATGGGTACAGCGTTACTAACTTGCCAGATGTGTCTGTATCCTAGCCTAATTCTGGCCACGACTACATCACATTGTCTGGTTCTGTCCTTATGCTGGCCATACCGGTACCTCTTGTTACAAAATTTGTCATATTTACTAATGCTACAACTGTCAGGTCTCTCTGCATTTCTCACTCTCTAGATCAGAGTTCATGATTCTGACTTGAATGTTTTAATTATTACAGCATTGGACAGACCAAGGTCACGGTCAACATTTTTCTTATGCCTGCTGCGTTTACCTCGGGTTGTCATTATGAGTGAGGCAGGAGGTGTAGGGAAGTCGTCAGAACAAGGCTTAATGTGGAGGCGGCAGGAACAAGGCTAAAATGAGATGGCAGGAACAAGGCTATCGAGGCGGTGGTGAACAAAGCGACGCGAGTGTAGAGGAACAAAGTTAATGAGGCGGGAGGAAATAAGGCACACGCGAGGCGCAAGCGCGCTACAATGACGTGGCAGAAACAAGGCCACGCGAGGCGTGCAGAACAGTTATCAGCGAGGCGGCAGGAAAAACCAAAGTTATCAGCAGGCGGCAGAACAAGGCATCAGTGAGGCGTGGCAGGAACAAAGTTAATCATGAGGCGTGGCAGGAACAAAGTTATCATGAGGCGTGGCAGGAACAAGGCTATCATGAGGCGTGGCAGGAACAAGGCTATCATGAGGCATGGCAGGAACAAGCTTATCCTGGCAGACGATAATGGGTGCAACAGGAGACAAGAATAAATTATTAGGAGGCATCCCAGCACCAACACCCCCACGAAGAAAATGTTTATCTTGTTGTAGAATGATAGGTTCCACAGGTGAAGTCATTGGGCTGGTAGTGTCATCATCCTTACCACCACCACCACCACTACAGCAGCACCTACAGCCACCACGGCAGGTTCCTCTACTCCCCCACACCATAAACTCGAAGAAAAACTCCAGTAATTCAAGCAATGTTACCAGAGACAGGACGATGAACAATCCTAAGTTGCCGCCAATCTCTGACAACATGCTGGTGAACTGATCGACATTCATTAGGAGAAACTGAAACTGAATTACATTGACGTAAAGGAACCGAAATATAATTATCATGGAAGTAAAAATTTAATGGAAAAAAACTCAATTTAAATCATGGTAGTTAATTACAGGGAAATATATATATATTACAGAAAATAGCTCAAAATGCATAAAAATGAGAATGACTTACCGACTTTGCTGGACTTTCCAAATCACTTCCTGTTGCATACTTTCGATGTAAACATGAATGCGTACAGTATTATTGTCCATGCTGGGGGTGGTGGGGGGAAGAGTAGATGTTAGTTTAAATATTTAATCTAAAGTGTCCTTACTACTACTACTACTACTACTACTACTACTATTAATGGGTTATCGTTTTCATTTATAATACTAACTAACCACATTTATTATTATCCTGAATATCCACCCACACCTAACTTATTCAGAGCAGACATCTTGACCCACGTAGAAATCTTTGGTGTTCTTCACTAAATTCATAAACTTCATGTTAACTTGGTTCATTGAGACGAGTGGAGTGCAGATCAACTCACTGGCGGGTAGAAGAGATAACAACTTTACTCCATTTGTTATAGGTGAATGAGAAGACGAAGAACAGTAGAAGATAAAACAAAAACCAAGAATAAGCAAAAACAAGAATAACAGCTATAAGAGTAACAATAACAAATAAACGACAATAGCAATACTAACAAAATACAACAAATACAGAAACCACAGTAGAACAAAGAACATTTTTTAAGAGGAGTCAGTAAAATGAAAAATTGTCTTAAGAATGTCAAGTGAAAAACATAATCTAGACTCACTCGCAGGCTGGTGGACAGTCACCCAAATCATCCTCTCCCACCTTCTTAATCTCGATCTACCGACACAAATCTATTGAAGGGAAGTTAGCATTAGTTTCAAGGCTGGTCTGTGGGGTGGTAAAAGGTGGAGGTGGAGGAAGGGGTAGTGGGAGGAGGAAGAGTGAAGGGAGGAAGGAAGAGGAAGAGGAGGGGAGTGAAAGGGTAAAGAAGAGAAGAGGGGATAAGGAGGGGGAGGAAGGGAGAAAGGGAAAGATGAAGGAGGAAGGGAGGAGAGGGTGAAAAAGAACTGGAAAGGAGAGGGGAAGGGGGAACAGAAGGAGGAGGAGGGGAAGAAAAGGGAGGAAGGGGGTTGAAAGGGGGGTAATTATTTTTAAGAGACACAGTAGTTAACGGGACTTATTGGGCATAGTATATTCCGACATTTTGGGTGCATTTTTGGATTTTGGAGGGCATTTGGGTACATTTTGGGGTCATTTGGGCATTTTGGGTGCATTTGGGTCCATTTTGAGGGTCATTTGGGCATTTTCAAATACGGGCTTTTAGGCATATTTAAAGCATTTTGGCATTTTAGGGGCATATCTGGTCATTTTTTATTATTTATTTATTTTTTCTTCAAGATTTTTCTATTTACAAGTGTGGTTTAATATGACGTCAATGTGATGTAGTGTTAAGTAAAACCTCGAGTAATGACATCAATGTATTAGTAATGACATCAATGCATTACTAATAACATCAATGTATTAGTAAATGACATCAATGTATTAGTAATGACGTCAATGTATTAGTAATGACATCAACGTAACAGAGGACCTTGGGTGAGGTTGGTGGGGCTGCAGCGAGGTAGCGTGGTCTTCAGCGCCTGCAGTAGGTCGTTCACAGCACTAAAACAGCCACATTCACTATGTATGTGTTCTTCTAGGCACAGCATCCGGCATGACTGGTGGTGGGGAGGAGATGATAAGTGTGTGTGTGTGTTAAGATTGTCGTCATTGATATTGTGATCATTATTATTATTATTATTATTATTATTGTACTAACATGTGACGTAATCCAAAGTAAACAATGGCGACTTGTACTGACATGTGACATAATCCAAAGTCTATCCTTATTGAAGCTCTTCCTCGTTTTCCGGGAGAGAGGGAAGGGGGGGGAGGCTGTTACGTGTTCGACCAAAACGAAACGAAGTTGGGTGAAGTGTTGAGAGGAAACGATATATATATATACATACAGTCATTACACACACACACACACACACACGCACACACTGTTACGCCGTCTCTTAATTTACTTAAATATCCAGGTTCTAGGCGTAACCAAACAAAAGGTGAAGTAAATTAAAAGAATAAAAATAAATAAATTAAACCTTTAAGAATTTAATTGATTAAATATTAACACAATAAAGAGCCTCGTAGGCTGTCACAACAAATTGATTCACCATCGAAACTTTTAAGACACAAGTGATACAAAACATAGAAACATCAAAAGAATAAAAATAAAGCATTGGATTACGTTAACACTGCATAAACATATAAAAACTATCACTGAAATTAACTAACGTGAAACAACACTGAATTACTTGAATACAACTAAGCAAATACTGATGGACACAAACAGAGACATAAATAGGTACTCACATAGATATACCACATTGGTGGCGACAGGAACAACACAAATAAATTAAGTATAAGTAACAAGTGACACTCAAAGGATGTGGACTGTATGACAAGAGGACTGAACTAACTCAAGTCAGTTGGTGGGTCCTATATATAAGGTCGGCTCCCGCCACGCGACCCGCCGGTGGGTCGTTTAACGATGCAGATGGTCGTTAGAGAACAAAGAATGCTGGTTACAATACAAAATAAAGAAATAAGATGGGCTTGAACAAATAATGACAGTTAAAACCTTAACAGCACAGGGTAAGGTGACTAGAATATATAATAGTAAATTTAACACATCATTACAGGAATAATATGGAACATGGGAGCATGATATATATAAAAAAAATAGAAAAAATACGACACGGTCGTAACAACACACACACACACACACACACACACACACACACACACAAAGTTGATTCCATAAATGATTAAGTATTAAGTCATAATTATCAGGTCGGTACAGTATTTTGTTGGCTGATTACAGTAGGAGACAGTTACAGTAGGAGACAGTTACAGTAGGAGACAGTTACAGTAGGAGACAGTTACAGTAGGAGACAGTTACAGTAGGAGACAGTTACAGTAGGAGACAGTTACAGTAGGAGACAGTTACAGTAAGAGACAGTTACAGTAGGAGACAGTTACAGTAAGAGACAGTTACAGTAAGACACAGTTACAGTAGGAGACAGTTACAGTAAGAGACAGTTACAGTAAGACACAGTTACAGTAAGAGACAGTTACAGTAAGAGACAGTTACAGTAAGAGACAGTTACAGTAAGACACAGTTACAGTAGGAGACAGTTACAGTAGGAGACAGTTACAATATGAGACAGTTACAGTAGGAGACAGTTACAGTAGGAGACAGTTACAGTAAGAGACAGTTACAGTAGGAGACAGTTACAGAAGGAGACAGTTACAATATGAGACAGTTACAGTAGGAGACAGTTACAGTATGAGACAGTTCCAGTAAGAGACAGTTACAGTAGGAGACAGAGACAGTTACAATATGAGACAGTTACAGTAGGAGACAGTTACAGTATGAGACAGTTCCAGTAAGAGACAGTTACAGTAGGAGACAGTTACAGTAGGAGACAGTTACAATATGAGACAGTTACAATATGAGACAGTTACAGTAGGAGACAGTTACAGTAGGAGACAGTTACAGTAGGAGACAGTTACAGTAGGAGACAGTTACAGTAAGAGACAGTTACAATATGAGACAGTTACAGTAGGAGACAGTTACAGTAAGAGACAGTTACAATATGAGACAGTTACAGTAAGAGACAGTTACAGTAAGAGACAGTTACAATATGAGACAGTTACAGTAGGAGACAGTTACAGTAGGAGACAGTTACAGTAAGAGACAGTTACAATATGAGACAGTTACAGTAGGAGACAGTTACAGTAAGAGACAGTTACAGTAAGAGACAGTTACAGTAAGGCACAGTTAATTACAATAGTGGACAGTTATGTTCAGTGACCTACAGGTGCAGTAATAGGTATCTCTATAGTATAAAACAGTTACAGTGATAAGGATGGTGACAGGATGTCCTGGAGTAGACCAGCTGTGTCTTAGGATATCCTGAACTGTACTGTATGAGTCACTTGTTCACTGGCCAGATGATATCAGTCACCTTCTTGTAGATGAAACACCAAGACCATCTCATCTAACACACATACATACATACATACATACATACATACATACATACATACATACATACATACATACATACATACATACAGGTATAAAATTGTTTATTAGTATCGTTCAAGTTTGATCTTTAATCAGTGGTGTAAAAATAGAAATCCAAGATGCGCACAGCTCTTTGGTGTGGTTGAGTGTGGCCAGGTGTGTGGTTGAGTGTGGCCAGGTGTGTGGTTGAGTGTGGCCAGGTGTGTGGTTGAGTGTGGCCAGGTGTGTGGTTGAGTGTGGCCAGGTGTGTGATTGAGTGTGGCCAGGTGTGTGATTGAGTGTGGCCAGATGTGTGATTGAGTGTGACAGGTGTGTGGTTGAGTGTGGCCAGGTGTGTTAACCTACAGGATATTGTTTCCATTTTAACACAGGTGAGGGAAATATCCTTCCCAAATTAGCAACACCTGTGTCATTATTACCTGTTGTTATTATTATTATTAGTAATAGTAGTATTGTTGTTGTTGTTGTTTGTTATTGTTGATGTTGTTGTTTTTTGTTGTCATTGTTGTTTTTGTTGTTATTGTTGTTGTTTTCCTTTTGTTATTGTTGTTGTTATTTTTTGTTGAGAAGCCTAAATAAAATATACAAACAACAACCTCTCGAGATCACCTAACTACAACAACCTGTGTATCAATTAAAACTGGTCTTTTGGGGCTCAGAGCTTATAAGCTTTAGTCTGTGGTTGTAATTACGATTGCGAGAGAAAGAGAGAGAGAGAGAGAGAGAGAGAGAGAGAGAGAGAGAGAGAGAGGCCTCCATGATTCACCCCTTCCTCTGTCATAACCCTAAACCTGGATAAAGGAGGTCAGGGAGAGGTCACCTATGTATGTCCTGACTCACATAGAATATCTTACTGAGAAAGAGACATGGACAGGATGAGCTTTATAGCATTAGGGCCTGACTCTTAGAAGGTTCCTGTAAAATTATGTACACAGTCAAAGAACTATCTCTACTCTGGGTGATCGATGAATTTCAGAATGAACACTGTGATTCCTGTTGTCTCGGTAGGGTTGTCAAAATCTTTCGTATGATTTGTTATATTTCTTCGTACATGATTTTGTTTAGATAGTTTTTTTTTTTTTTTTTGGGGGGGGGGGGTGATTTTAGAGAACGTATTTCTTTCTTGATCAGGTAAAGCAATTAGTATAGTTTGACTTGTGGTGGTTATAGTGACTTGTTTTAAACCTTCTATTTGAGTGACTAGTTTAAGGATTTATTGCTATTATGATTTTCTAATAGGAGAATATTTTTTTTTATTCATGTTACTTTTTTTCATCTCGTGAAGTCAAAAACCACATGACAGTGATTTTGTTTTTTGTCTACTTTGACTTACACCAGGAGACTTAATTAGTAATTTTTTCAGTAAGCGTTTTAGTCAGTCAGCCAATCAGTGAATTAGCCAAAGATTCTGTGAGTCAGTTGATGAGTCAGTTAGATAGCGAGGTTGGTCTGTAAGTCAAAGAGTTAGGAACTGAGATGGTCTGTTAGTGAGTCAGATAGCGGGTGAGTCAGTCAATCATTATTCATAGGATGTAATTGAGTCAAACCAAAGCATGATTTAGTTGAATAATAACACTCGGTCAAAAATAATGAATAGAAAGTTGATTGAGAGTGATTATTATTGTGAGTGAGTGAGTGAGTGAGTGATTTATTAAGGTTAACCTCTGACCTCCTCGACCTCCACACAATCAATGACTCCAAGGCCAAGTTATAACTCAGTACTTCCTCACAAACATGTACAGATATAATAGATATTTAATCAGTTTTACCTGTCCATTGTAGCTCGTGATTTGTTCTGAAATATTTTAGGTAGAACGATTATATAACACAGTCTATAAGATGTTTAATGAGCCAAGGAATTTAATTTTTTTTTTCAATTATACTTTTATCTTATTTTATTTTGTTATCCATTTTTTGTCTTCTGATTTGTGGGTTTCTTCCTGTTACGGCTCGCGACATTCTTACGTAAATTGACCATAAATGTTGTGTATAATCCAAGGAAATGAAAAAATTATTGTTTCCCAAGCGATCCTTGACGATGGGAAAAGGCGGGTTAACCCTCTTGACCATTTCCGTTCTGGGGCAGATATAAAGCCGACGAACGCCAACCTCTCCTCACTCATCCACTCCCTCCAGACAGTTTGGCACCAAGAGTCGACAACTTACCTTCAGTGGCTAAACGTCCAACGAAGACATTATTGTAAAGCTTTTACTTAGAGTGTCAGCTTTAAGACTTCCTTCACCAGCAACAACTAAACGTGTGATTATGAAGTATTGGTGGAGTGTGTTGCTGTTCCTCGGGCTGAGTGTGACTTCAAGGCTGACGTGGGGGCAGACTATCCTGCCAGATGTGATCATTGGAGACCCAAATGATGTAAGTAGAAGCTGTGTTTTTCAGTAATAAGTCGATCAAGTTACAAGAGTGTTATGGCAGTTGTATATATCATTTGTCGAGTGTAATTAGTAACTAGTACTGTAGTTAGTCGCTTCAAGACTCTTCAGCGCACTAATATATTACAACTTTAACATGACAGGTTGTGGTGTGTCTTATGCTTGACTGAATTTTCTTTACAAAGTTTTATATTTTTTTTTACTCACTTGTGAACTTTCGTATTCCATAAACTTGTCTCTGCGGGCTGTATAGGTACGCCAGGCGCTGTTGAGTGTTCGTGCTGGCATTGTTGACTCACCCTACAGGTTGTGTGGTCATTAGATATAGGTGAAACAAGGTGATGACAATGATTCTGGTGATGACGTTAAGAGTGATGATCTGTACAAAGTAAAGCGTATTCAGTGTGTAAACTCATCACCAACACCTCTTAAGTTTACTGTTATGATGACTCAGCACCGGTGACTCACGTGACATTCAGTACTCAGGGTGACAACGACGCCAACATATCATCATAATTATACAGTAGAGTCAGTGCCTCTTACTCTAACTTCTCTTCGAATTAAAGTTTCCTGCGAGACATCTCTCTCGGGCGGCGTAAAATTCTAAACTTGGTTATTTATCTTTCAGCCAAGTAATGACATCATAGGAGAACCCATCTCCAAGGAGGAGGAGAAGGCGAGCCTGTCCAAGGTGACGGAGAAGCTAGGCCCCAAAGAAGACCCCATTACTCGCTCAGGATTCTTCCAGGGCGACATCATGATTCGCTCCAAGGACGAACTCTATCAGATCATCGAGGTAATTCATCCATCTGTCCCTTATACCACCATTAACATTGCTGCTGTTGGTTATAATGGCACAGGTGTAGTGACTGCTGTTAGTAGTGTGTGTGTGTAAGCTCCCCCATTAACGTGTGTTGTACCTCCTACAGGGTGACCCTCTGGGGCAGATGAGTGCCGTCAAGAACCCACAGAGAACTTGGCCTGACGCAGATATCCCATACGTTATCTCCTCGTCCTTCAGTAAGTACCTCCCTACCCTTTACTCTCAGTCATCTATCAGTTTATTATTTACTTTATAGACCGATGTGTCAAGTGTTTGTCTTTGTAAAGTTTGTACAAGAATAATTATATATAAACTTTCTGAATTATCTCACTTCAATGACGATCATTATTCGGTATGATAAATAAGATGAATAACTGTAGTATTGCCTTAATAATTGTCTCTATTATGATGAAACAAGACACAGTTTGATGCTATTGGTTCCTGTTAGACACAACTGACTCTAGTTTTGTGTCTCTTTATGACAGCGTCGCAGGAGAGGTCGACCATCGCCCGAGCCATCGCCGAGTACCACCAACGGACCTGTATCACCTTTGTCCCCAGAACCACACACAGCGACTACGTTCACATTCTCAAAGGACAAGGGTGAGTACCGTGCACAGTACCTTGAATGTCGTGCACTACACCATACTGTGCACCTCACCATACTGTGCACCTCACCATACTGTGCACCTCACCATACTGTGCACTACACCATACTATGCACCTCACCATACTGTGCACCTCACCATACTGTGCACCTCACCATACTGTGCACTACACCATACTATGTCATACTGTGCACCTCACCAAACTGTGCACTACACCATACCATGCTCTTGTATACCATAGTGAAGAACCATCTATATGGTTCTCTTATCATTCGTAGTTGGATCTTATAACTGACCCACATCGGGGCCTGGGTGTGGGGGGGGGTGTAATAATAATAATAATAATAATAATAATAATAATAATAATAATAATAATAATAATAATAATAATAATAATAATAATAATAATAATAAAGAGCCATAAAGAAATACAAAAAATAAATAAATAAAAGATAATGAGAAACAATATATGTATGTTGTGTTGTCAAAGTAAGAGAAACAATTGAGACCCTACAATTGTGTGTAAATGAGGCAGAAAGTCAGATCATCAACCTGGGACTTGGTCACATATGGCAGCAGGGTCTACCATTAGACAACACATTATGCTTCCATCATCTTCCCAGGCTGTAGTACCTCCCTGTTACACACATAAAGGTTATTAGTTTTTGAAGCTCAGTCATAACATCATAACGTGAAGGCCTCCTGTATCGTGTATTCATTATTTACCTGTGATTCATTAACCATCTCTCTTACCAGGTGTTCCAGTGCGGTGGGACGATCAGGAGGGGTACAGGTGGTGTCGCTGGGTAATGGCTGTGTTTACCTGGGCGTCATTATGCACGAGCTGATGCACGCTGCAGGGTTCTGGCACGAACAATCACGATTTGACCGGGACGACTATGTTACAATTCACTGGAACAACATACAGCCACAACTCACCTACAACTTTGATAAGGTTAGTTTGGTGTTGCTGTTAGTGTATGTCTGTGATCAAGTGTAATTAACAGTTGTATTCGATTAGTCTTAAATATTTTCGTGGAGATCGCGTTGATGTTTCTATTACAACAGCAACAATGTCCTCACATGTGGGAGACCTCACACATCAACAAGTGAGGACAACGTTGGTATTCACTCGATCTTCACGAATGTTTGTCAGGCAATTTGTAAATATTTTTTAGGGACACTTTGTATATACCGTCATGGTCCATGCAACAGTGTTCTTGTGGACAACACTTGCGGTAGTGGACGAATATAACTTACATAATCACTATTAACATTGCTACCTTGTGAGGACTGACTCGATGGTGTAACTCTCCCTCAGAAATCGAGCTCCGTGACTACCGATCTGGGACTATCCTATGACTACGGTTCTATCATGCACTACGGACCCCACGCCTTCGCCAAGGACTACCGCTATCCTACCATTGAACCCAAGCAGAACGGTGTCACCATTGGTCAACGTGATGGTTTCTCAGAGGTCAGTCACTCTACACCGTGAAAACTGAGACGAGTGGCGCCGAGTGTTAGTAAAGAGATGGATGGATGGATGGATGGATGGATGGATGGATGGCTGGCTGGATGGATGGATGGATGGCTGGATGGATGGATGGATGGATGGATGGATGGATGGATATAAAATGATTACAAAATGTTTAAGAAAAAAATGATAGCAGTTACTTTTAAAATACTGTTAAAAAGTTGTTGTCTAATGTCGGGTTCCTCTCTGGCCAGCTGGACGTGAAGGGACTGAACCTGCTATACAAGTGCTCGGGTACAGGACCCACCCCTAAGCCTACTCCAGAACCCGAGGACTGTGTCAACAAGAACCAGTACTGTGCCTATTGGGCTGCTTCAGGTTTCTGCTTCACCAACAACGCTTATATGAAGATCAACTGCAAGAAGTCCTGTAATTTCTGTGGTAAGATAAACAAGAAGGTTATCCGTGTGTATATTTCTCTAACGTTATGTGTGAAGCTTGAAGCAAATGAGCTGTTTTTGTCGTCAATACAACCATAGTTCACGTGCAAGGTGTATGAAGTGCTACCACAACCTGTATGACACCTGTGGTAAATGAAGCAAGGTAGATAATTAAAGAATAATGAATAAATATGTTAATTGTTAAGGAAAGAATATTCAAATTGGCAACATTAGAGGCAATAATTATGTTCATTTGTATAATGTTAAACTGTACATGAATTATGACGTATTATTGGGTGTATTAAGCATTATTATACAGGTAATGATCATCACTTTACCAAGCTAATTTCACACACACACACACACACACACACACATACACACACACATTATATATTAAAAAGCAACATTGAGAATTGAATGAAATCTGTAAAGTTTGTCCCCCTGAACACACAAGCAGCCTCACATCACCTTGTAGAAGCATACAGGTAATAAGGGTCATTTTGTGTTTACAGGAACGTCTGACTGTGAGGACCAGAACAGGTATTGCTCCAGCTGGGCCAAAAATGGACAGTGTCAACAGAATCCTAAATACATGAGTTTGTTCTGCAAGAAATCGTGCAACTTATGCGGTAAGTCTCTCTCTCTCTCTCTCTCTCTCTCTCTCTCTCTCTCTCTCTCTCTCTCGGTGATTGTCTGTCTGTATTTGTATGTATGTCCACCATCACAAACTATTATTCACACCTGTATATATATTAACTGTACACATCGTCTTGAAATACACACATGAAAAAATATTTACTATTCCCTACATGTCACTCATTACGTGTCTCTGCCCCCTTCAGGTGCTGCTAGTTCCTCATGCGTCGATCACAACAGCTACTGCCAGGACTGGTCGCGTCGTCAGGAGTGTAAGCGAAACCAAGCATACATGAGTCTTTACTGCTCCAAGTCCTGTGGCTCCTGTAAAGACTCCCCAGCTAATGAAGTTGCTGACGACCACATCCCAGCTATAAAACCCCCATATAGCGCTCAATAAAAGCCATAATTACCTCTCTTAATTGTAATTTGATCTCTGTAATTTAATCCTAAACTTAGAATACTAAATATATTATACTGTACATGTTTATATTATAGATGTCGTAATAAACCTGACTTCTTTATTTATTGTGTTTTTCATGTGGGTGAGGTAGCCATCTGGGACATTATTTCTGTGATAAAGTTTAGACGAAGGGAGACTCACTGCTCAGATGCTCATAAACGTCACACATAATTTTCTCTCTACATAATTGTTTTCTCAGTGTCCTGTTTTGTCTTCTTTAGTTAACGTATAGGAAAGGAATTTTTTTTTTAATGAAACGTGTGAAAACTTTGAGCTGAGATTAACATTTGAAAACTTTGAACTATGATTAACAATTGGAAACTTTGAGCTGAGATTAACATTTGAAAACTTTGAACTATGATTAACAATTGGAAACTTTGAGCTAAGTGGGCTTGATGACTTGACAGGTGATACACTCAGGTAGCCATAGTGTCTTCTTGTGGAAAACGTATTTTTACCTGTGCTGTATTAATACTTGTACCTGTATATTTTACCTGTACTTATACTATAATTTTTTTTTTTAATAATTTATATTTATAGATTTAAGAAAATAATTAGAGAGATAATGGAGTTAATTATCTAATTTGTAATATTAACGGAAAAAAATTACAATTATATCCAATGAAAAAACTGTTTATTCGGTTCATTACAAGTTTGATCTTAAGTGAATTGTGTAAAAATAGAAGACCGGCATGCGCACGACTTTTGGTGAATAATAATAATAATAATAATAATAATAATAATAATAATAATAATAATAATAAATGCAAATAATAATCACTTACGTTAACATCATAAATTAATAATATACAATACATTATTTGTATAGTTAAATAATGTTAATGTAATACAATAGATGACCTATAGAAAGGTTTAAGGGTGAGGAAGGTTCAAACACAGGTCAGGAAGGTTCAAACACAGGTCAAGAAGGTTCAAACACAGGTCAGGAAGGTTCAAACATACCAGAAAGATTCAAACATAGGGTAGGATGGTTCAAACACAGGTCAGGAAGGTTCAAACACAGGTCAAGAAGGTTAAAAATACCAGGAAGGTTCAAACACAGGTCAGGAAGGCTCAAACACAGGTCAGGAAGGTTCAAACACAGGTCAAGAAGGTTAAAATACCAGGAAGGTTCAAACACAGGTCAGGAAGGCTCAAACACAGGTCAGGAAGGTTCAAACACAGGTCAAGAAGGTTAAAAATACCAGGGAAGGTTCAAACACAGGTCAGGAAGGTTCAAACACAGGTCAAGAAGGTTAAAAAATACCAGGAAGGTTCAAATACAGGTCAGGAAGGTTCAAACATACCAGGAAGGTTCAAATACAGGTCAGGAAGGTTCAAACACAGGTCAGGAAAGGTTAAACATAACAGAAAGGTTCAAACACATGGCGGGAAGGTTCAAACACAGGTCAGTAAGGTTCAAACATGTGAGGGTTCAAACACATAGCAGGAAGGTTCAAACGCAGATCAGTAAGGTTCAATCTTTCGAAAAAGTTCAAACACATGTCAGGAAGGTTCAAACATACCAGAAAAGGTTCAAGCACATGACAGGAAGGTTCAAACATAGGTCAGGAAAGGTTCAAACACAGGTCAGGAAGGTTCAAACACAGGTCAGTAAGGCTTAAACATACCAGAAAGGTTCAAACACAGGGCAGGAAGCAAAACAGGTCAGTAAGGTTCAAACATAGGTCAGTAAGGTTCAAACATACCAGAAAGGTTCAAACATATGACCGGAAGGTTCAAAAACAGGTGAGGAAGGTTCAAACACAGGTGAGGAAGGTTCAAACACAGGTCAGCAAGGTTCAAACATAACAGATAGGTTCAAACACATAGCAGGAAGGTTTCAACTGTGACAGCCACATTGAAATATTACTCAGTTAATTACAGGAGAATATTAAAAGACAGACAGACAGACAGACAGACTCACTGACTCAGTCACTCGCTCATTCACTCACTCCCTCACTGACTCACTCCCTCCCTCTGACTCCTCCCCACTGACTCCTCCTCACTGCTCACCACTCTTCCCACTGACCCACTCCCCCTCACTCACCATGCCCCTCCCGCAGTTACTCCTCCACTACCTCACTCCCACTCCATCACTGACTCACTCACTCCTGACTCACTCACCCCCACTGACTCACTCTTTCACTGACTCACTCTCCCTCACTGACTCACTCCCTCCTCACTGACTCCACCCTCCTCACTGACTCACCTCCCCACTGACTCACTCACCCTCCCTCCCTCACTGACTCACCTACTCCTCAGTGACTCCACTCCACCTCCCCACTGACTCACTCCCTCCCTCACTGACCTCCCAATTCTCCTCACTGACTCCATTCACCTCACCACCTCCTCACTGACTCTCACCTCCTCGCTCCCTCCCTCCTCCCTTACTGACTCGCTCCCTCCTCACTGACTCACCTCCTCACTGACTCACTTCTCCTCACTCCTCCCTCACTCCCTCCTCACTGACTGCCCTCCCTCACTGACCTGCCTCCTCACTGACTCACTCTCACTGACTCACTCTCCCTCCTCACCTCCTCACTGACTCGCTCCTCCCTCACTGACTCACCTCCTCACTGACTCACCTCACTGACTCACCTCACTTCACTGACTCACTCCTCACTGACCTCACCTCACCTCACTGACTCACCTCCCTCACTGACTCTCCTCCTCACTGACTCCACCACTGACAATCTCACTAATGTACTAAAGTAATAAATTAATCATCTTTATGTTATTCTCATATATATATTTCCAGCTGGTGTTAAATCTAATTATCAACGTACAGGAAATTGTATTGTTCGTTATATACTATTTCCATCACCTGTTATATACTATTACCATCACCTGTTATATACTATTACCATCACCTGTTATATATTTTACCATCACCTGTTATATACTATTTCCATCACCTGTTATATACTATTACCATCACTTGTTATATACTATTACCATCACCTGTTATATACTATTACCATCACCTGTTATATACTATTACCATCACCTGTTATATACTATTACCATCACCTGTTATATACTATTACCATCACTTATATATATTACCATCACCTGTTATATTATATTTCCATCACCTGTTATATTATATTTCCATCACCTGTTATATTATATTTCCATCACCTGTTATATTATATTTCCATCACCTGTTATATTATATTTCCATCACCTGTTATATTATATTTCCATCACCTGTTATATTATATTTCCATCACCTGTTATATATTATTACCATCACCTGTTATATACTATTTCCATCACCTGTTATATTATATTACCATCACCTGTTATATTATATTTCCATCACCTGTTATATTATATTTCCATCACCTGTTATATTATATTTCCATCACCTGTTATATTATATTTCCATCACCTGTTATATTATATTTCCATCACCTGTTATATACTATTTCCATCACCTGTTATATTATATTTCCATCACCTGTTATATTATATTTCCATCACCTGTTATATTATATTTCCATCACCTGTTATATTATATTTCCATCACCTGTTATATATTATTACCATCACCTGTTATATACTATTTCCATCACCTGTTATATTATATTACCATCACCTGTTATATTATATTTCCATCACCTGTTATATTATATTTCCATCACCTGTTATATTATATTTCCATCACCTGTTATATTATATTTCCATCACCTGTTATATTATATTTCCATCACCTGTTATATACTATTTCATCAATTCGTTATATACTATTTCCATCACCTGTTATATACTATCATCACCTGTTATATAATTATATTACCATCACCTGTTATATACTATTACCATCACCTGTTATATAATTATTTCCATCACCTGTTATATACTATTACCATCACCTGTTGTATACTCATTTCCATCACCTGTTATATACTATTTCCATCACCTGTTATATACTATTACCATCACCTGTTATATACTATTACCATCACTCCGTTATATACTATTTCCATCACCTGTTATTATATACTATTACTATCACCTGTTATATATACTATTTCATCACCTTATTATATAATATTTCCATCACCTGTTATATACTATTACCATCACCTGTTATATACTATTACCATCACCTGTTATATACTATTACCATCACCTGTTATATACTATTACGATCACCTGTTATATACTATTAACATCACCTGTTATATACTATTACCATCACCTGTTATATACTATTTCCATCACCTGCTATATAATATTACCATCACCTGTTATATACTATTACCATCACCTGTTATATACTATTACCATCACCTGTTATATACTATTTCCATCACCTGTTATATACTATTACCATCACCTGTTATATACTATTACCATCACCTGTTATATACTATTTCCATCACCTGTTATATACTATTTCCATCACCTGTTATATACTATTACCATCACCTGTTATATACTATTACCATCACCTGTTATATACTATTTCCATCACCTGTTATATACTATTACGATCACCTGTTATATACTATTACCATCACCTGTTATATACTATTAACATCACCTGTTATATACTATTTCCATCACCTGTTATATACTATTACCATCACCTGTTATATACTATTACCATCACCTGTTATATACTATTACCATCACCTGTTATATACTATTACCATCACCTGTTATATACTATTACCATCACCTGTGTTATATACTATTACCATCACCTGTTATATACTACTACCACCTATATACTACTGTTATATACTTTCCATCATATATTATATGCTATTTCCTTCACTATATATATACTATTTTATCTGTTATAATTTACTTATTACCTGTATATACTGTTATATACTATTACCATCTTTTATATTTATACTACTATTATATACTATTTCCATCTTTTACATTTGCTATTATACCTGTTATGCTATTTCCCATACTTTATTTATATTTATTTCGTCTTATATACTATTATATATATATATTACGTTCACTGTTATATACTATTTCCATCTTACTGTTATATTCTATTTCCATCACCTGTTATATGCTATTACCATC